TACTTCGAGTCGCGGTACCAGCGTCAAGTTGTGTAAGTCTTGCCTCAATGTTGATCACGAATAAGCGTAACAACAGTGAAGATTTTGTTATCTTAACAAACAATGATAGACACGATAAGATGTCGAGTGACACGAGAGTACGGAGCTAGATCCACACTTCTTAGCCGTATTCCTTCACTATCTTTTGCTCTGAAACATGTAAGGGGGAGTGTGTTGCTTGGAACCAGGTTCCAGTTATGATATGGTGGTGGCAGACCAACAAAGAGAGTTGCAGAACAAAGGAAGAGTTAGGGGAGGATATGCTTTTCTTTTTATGTGGTGGGAAGGAAGGAAAAAATCCCAAAGTACACTAGTTTTTAAAAAAAATTCCCAAAATACATAAGTTATAAAAAAAATTCCAAAAGTACACATGTTTGAGCATCACCGTTTTAGACAAAAACGGTGAAGGTCATCACCGCTTTTGACCAAGACGGTGAATACTTCACCGTTTCAAACTAAAACGGTGAAGGGTTCACCGCGTTTGTTAAAGAACGGTGAATACTTCACCGTTTTAAACAAAAACGGTGAAGTCTTCATTTGAATTCCAAGTATTTTGATAACTCTAAATGGTTCTCCTCGTCGATACGATCGCGCTGCCGAAAACGGCTCGTTATTTCGACCTCAAACGAATAAGATACGCGCGTTTTAGTTTTTAGTACGCAAAAGTTACTTTAACGACATGTGCAGCTTTGAACTCACTTATCTCACTCGTTTGGACTCGGAATTGAGATCTGTAAAATTCTATGTGATCGTGGTTGATTTTCCCAACTTTTTTGTGTTGAGGGAAGATAATGATTCTTGATAAAATGATCCAGAATATTCATTCGACAACTTAAGTGCGTAGGATAGTTTTTAGACCATGCAAACTCAAATAACAACACCTAAAAATCACAAAAACAACATTGATAGTTCACTACAATGATAAAACGATAAATTCACTCATTTGCTTCATTTTGGCCCCCATCTCCACCTCTTCCTCCTCGTCCTCCACGAGTTTGTTGTTGCGGATGTTGGAATTGAGAGAACCATATGTAACAACATCATGGGTTCTCTTAATTCCAACATCCGCAACAACAAACTCCGAACCCCCCGATCATTCGTCAAGCTACCGGTCCAACTCAGCCACCACCACCACCATATGTAACCCCAGTTGGGGCTCGGGTCAAGAGAAATCCGCGACCAGCCGTTGAGCGAGCCCGCCAAGAAGCAGTGGCGGAGGGGGGAAGAAGGGGTCGAGGACGTCGTGGAGGACGAGGAGGAAGAGGTGGAGATAGGGGCCAAAATGAAGCAAATGAGTGAATTTATCATTTTATCATTGTAGTGAACTATCAATGTTGTTTTTGTGATTTTTAGGTGTTGTTATTTGAGTTTGCATTGTCTAAAAACTATCCTACGCACTTAAGTTGTCGAATGAATATTCTGGATCATTTTATCAAGAATCATTATCTTCGCTCAACACAAAAAGGTTGGGAAAATCAACCACGATCACATAGAATTTTACAGATCTCAATTCCGAGTCCAAACGAGTGAGATAAGTGAGTTCAAAGCTGCACATGTCGTTAAAGTAACTTTTGCGTACTAAAAACTAAAACGCGCGTATCTTATTCGTTTGAGGTCGAAATGACGAGCCGTTTTCGGCAGCGCGATCGTATCGACGAGGAGAACCATTTAGAGTTATCAAAATACTTGGAATTCAAATGAAGGCTTCACCGTTCTTAACAAACGCGGTGAACCCTTCACCGTTTTAGTTTGAAACGGTGAAGTATTCACCGTCTTGGTCAAAAGCGGTGATGACCTTCACCGTTTTTGTCTAAAACGGTGATGCTCAAACATGTGTACTTTTGGAATTTTTTTTATAACTTAGGTATTTTGGGAAATTTTTTTAAAAACTAGTGTACTTTGGGATTTTTTCCGGGAAGGAACGAAGGAGTGGGTAATGGAGCTTTACGTATGCTTTTTATCACATGTAGTGTATTATGGCGGTTCAGGAAGGAACGTATGTAGTAGAGAAGAATATAGTTAAGGAACAATAAACCCTAAGAAAGAAGCCTTTTTTGCCCTTTTCATCCCATCCAAAAGGGTATGCAAAGTTGCAAACTCACATTATGACTTTGCCAATCTTGTACTCCTTTTAGCTAGCTAGCTAGCTAGAAGAATAGTTGATTTGACCGAAGTTTTTGTGGTGAATTTTAGGATTAAAATCGTTTGACGATATGATTTTCTCCATGTAGAGAGGTAGAATCTCATTGTCTGTTGATTATTCAGAAACTTCAAGACTCAAATTCTTCGTTCTCTTGATGTGAGTCAAGTCTATGGAGAAATCAGAGACAAAGCCTACCAAGTAGAGATGGCAATTGGATCGGATTCGTGGATTGGATTGGTGGATCCATGGATTGGTGGATTGATCCATGAATTCAAATGATATGCAAGGCTTGGACCAAAGTGTAAAATTTGAAAAGTTTTGGTACTAAAATGTCATAATGAAAATTTTTAGGTACCAAAATATAATTTTCCAATGATATTTTTCGTATAAAAGTATAAATTTTAGGTACCAAAATGTAAAATATAAAAAATATAGGTATCAAATCATAATTTGCCATTTGGATCCATGGATTGATCTAGGGATGGCAATGGGTAGGGTCGGGTGCGGGTTTACCCTATACCAACTCCTAACCCGCCGGGTAGAGCTTTCTAAAATACCCGACCAAACAACCACCGGGTATGAAAATTATATAACCATACCCTACCCACCGGGTAACCACGGGTATTCGGGTAACCATTGGTACGAATCCTAAACTATGAACTTATACACATATATGCACATACATACTGTTGTCCATTAAAAATTCTCAATAGTTGTAACTGTTCTAGCTTTAACAACCACACAAATAAAAACAGCAAACACATAATAATAGTTCTTGCTTCTACAATCCACACAAACATAATAATCGTCTACATCTTCATCATCAATAATGGTTGTTAAACTCAATTTCTCAAGCTAAACTAAATTTCTCAAAGGAAATTGACCTTTTGGTTAGCGGGGCGGGTATAACGGGCGGGTATTATCGATTACCATACCCGTACCCTACCCTTTATTTTTAAACCGGGTATTACCCATACCCGCCCCTTAACCCGTCAAAGCGGGTAATTATCCTCGTTGACCGGTTACGGTCGGGTAGGGTACCCATGGTTACGGGTTTGATTGACATACCTAGATTTATCCATTAATCCACCAATCAATTGGATTTGGATCAAATGGATTGGATTTAAATGAATTGAATTAGGTGGATAATTTGGTGGATGGATTGGATTGGATTCATGGATTTAGATTCTAATTGCCACCTCTACTCCCAAGCGAGTTGATTAGCTATGGATGTTTGCAAATATAGTATATACTATGGCTCATACTTCATGCAGGAAATTTGGTTAGATAAGTTACATGTGCTTTTTTACTATTTTGTTTTGAGAGATGATTGCATTATTTCGATTATGTGGATTTTGTGTACCGACGGCTGACTGGGCTCATGATGAGGCCCAACCCACTGTTAGAAACCGGATATTGCTAGTGAGCCAGAGCCCAATGCTAGGCCTTCTAATTTGGGCTCCAAGGAGAAAAGTAAACGAAGTGACTCGCATTCATTACGATTCCTCCATTAAGCTTCAGCCAGTGGACTTGAGCTTCAGCTTCATCACTTGCTTTTTCACTATCAATCAGCGCCTGTGACACGCATTCGGTACGATTCCCGGTCATTATCTGGAAAAAAAGATACGCAGATCAAAACAAACGTGAACAGAACACTAGAGCGAATCAAACAGGATACAGTATTTGACAGAACTCGAACATGACCCTCCTGTTCTAACAAGACTGCACTGCCTGCAAAAAGCTGGTGTATTGCAGGTGTAGCTCATCATCTTCCCCAATCGCTCTCATTGCCATACATATAATGCTAATTGGAAGCAGAAGACAATGAATGATGAATTCAAGTACCGTTCAAGTTGCTCTCCATATGACTGATGTTCAGAACATGCACAAAGTTACTGAAAATTATGGTTGTCTAGTTAAAAGTAGCTGAGAAAAGGGAGGGATTATTACACACTACACAGAACAGAAAGAGTCTTATCTGAAAGCACAGGGAAGCAGGAGACATAAACAGCATCAACAATTAGGTAGCTCAGGTATTAGACTATGCATAAGACATTCAGAAAAGACAATAGAGGAAGAGACTAAGAGGGCAAAGTTCGTTACTTGTTACAACTTGGGGCAACCACAAAAATGGCAGTTGTCAACATGCTTTCTCCTCAGTTGGTCAATTTCTCCACTGGGTTTCCACCAAAAGTGGTCTGGTAGTTTCCTTGCCTAGTCCCATCATTGAGCAAGGAATGCTGTCAAGTTTCAAGACTTTCGCAAAATGAATGTATTTTGGTCTAGGCAGAATTTATGCAAGAATGATTATAAGTTACCAAAAGCCTGCTGTTTTGTATGTGTTATCTCTGTAAGGAGTGTAATGAGTAATCAGTGCCTAAATAGTGATTGCATTAGCTACAACCAAAGGGTCACGGTGATTCATCTCAAATAGTTGCAGGGAATCAATCTCAAATAAGTTGCAGCAGATGATCAGAAGAACACACGGAAACAAGAGTTTTCGGCTCACACTATGGCGCAGCATACTGTGATGGCTATTTTTACACACGCAGTTAATCCGTTCAGGCTAGGTTCCAGAGATAATGCAGAAACCCTTACAAACCTGGATCACCGCCGAGCGCCATTGCGCCTTGTCGCTCTCTACTGCCCTTCACAATCTGACATCTTCCACCCCCCCAACAATTGAGAAGATCCCATTGCGCCTCGTCGCTTTCTACCACCTGCTCGCCCTTTCACTGCCAAATCGAACCCATCACCCATAAAATCCCCCCGGGGAAAGGAGAAGTAACGGAACTTTCAAACTCCGGTGGCCGGTGGGACTTACTCCCCTAGCCGCCGGCCGGGAAGAGGGAAAGAACGGGAAAAAGCTTTGGGCAAATTAAACACTAAACACCCCCTTAAGCCAAAACGTAACGCTTTTAATTATTTCATAATAAAACCATAACAACTGGAACAGTGTATAAAGATAAGAAGATGTCAGAGAAAACATGGCAAGGGAATGTGGGTCTTAATTATTGCTCTTCTCTACTACACCGTTCACCCCATAAAGCCCTGGCCTTTACACCTTTCTTCCTCTTCTTTAAATACACACAGTTCACTCCCCTCTTCTTCCTCACTGCCGCATAACCAGTTGCAGGCTTTCAGCAGTAGTTCCCCTCTTCGGATTCCCCTGTAACCCCTTTTGACCAAAGAAACAAAGAAGAAGGCCAAACTCCCCCAAAAACATGGCCATTTCTTCATCCCGTTCCACTCTCCTTGTGATCCTTCTTCTCCTCACAACCTTCGCAGCTTTTCTCCTTCCCAGCTCCCATGGCGCCCACAATCACCGCGGCCGCCCTCGCACTGCCAGCCACAACTACAGAGATGCCCTCACCAAATCCATCCTGTTTTTTGAAGGGCAGAGGTCCGGGAAGCTCCCTCCTAACCAGAGAATGTCGTGGAGGAGAGACTCTGGCCTCACGGACGGTTCTGCCATGAATGTATGTTAAAAAAAACAGAGCACACATTGCTCTGTTTCCTTCCCTTTTCTTCACCCTTTGCTTTCTCTGGCTACTTATGGGCTGTGGCATGGATGGGTCTAAAACAAGTTGCTGTCTTTCTCCTCGTTTCACTCTTTTGTGCTCTCTACCTGATTTTGGGCAATGCCGTGAATGTATGAGGAAAAACCCAAACCGTTGCTCTGTTTTTACCCTACTCTGTTCCTGATTTTACCGTTTTGCTGCCAAAATTTGGCAGGTGGATCTGGTTGGAGGGTACTACGACGCAGGGGACAATGTGAAGTTCGGCTTCCCAATGGCGTTCACGGCCACAATGCTTTCATGGAGCGTGCTCGAATTCGGCGGATTGATGAAAGGCGAGCTGCAGAACGCCAGAGAAGCCATTCGCTGGGGCACTGATTACCTCCTCAAAGCCACATCTCATCCGGACACCATCTTTGTCCAGGTCTGCTGCACTACCCTTCTTTTCCCCCCACTTCGTCTCCAAAAAATTAAGCATAAAGTTTGGATCTTGTTCTTATCTCCCACAAGGTCGGAGATGCCAAAAAGGACCACGCTTGCTGGGAGCGGCCGGAGGACATGGACACTCCGAGGAGCGTGTACAAGGTCGACAAGAACTCCCCTGGCTCCGACGTCGCCGGAGAAACCGCGGCCGCTCTCGCCGCGGCTTCTCTGGTTTTCAGGAGATCCGACCCTAATTATTCCAAGGTCCTGCTCAAGAGGGCAATCAGGGTAAGCATCAATTTATAGATAGATAGATGGTAGTAATTTAATTTGCAATTAAAAATCCAGTTTGGTTTTCTGGTTTTCACAGGTGTTCCAATTTGCTGACAAGTACAGAGGACCTTACAGCAATGGGCTCAAAAGCGTCGTCTGCCCTTTCTACTGCTCGTACTCTGGCTACCAGGTTAGACCTCAAAGTTACTTCACCCTCCTTTCTCTAGTAAGCTAAAACTGTCAAAACAATGGTGGTTAATTAACATAACTGAACCGATCTTCAGGACGAGCTTCTGTGGGGAGCAGCATGGTTACACAGGGCAACCAAGAACCCAACCTACCTGAACTACATCCAGGTAAACGGCCAGATTCTCGGCGCGGCAGAGTTCGACAACACATTTGGCTGGGACAACAAGCACGTCGGAGCCCGAATCTTGCTCTCCAAGGCTTTCCTCGTCCAGAGAGTTCAGTCCCTCCATGACTACAAGGGCCACGCGGATAACTTTATCTGCTCCCTCATTCCCGGCGCGCCTTCCTCTTCCACTCAGAGTACACTCCAGGTTTAACCACCCCCATTGCCCTGCCTCAATTTCGACCTCAAATACACATACATTTCGGTCACAGCGGTCTCAATCCTTACCAATGTGATTTAGCGCAATAGATGATACGGTCCAACATATACAAATTAAATGTCTAACGGTTTAGCAGTATTCGGACTAAGTGATTTGTTCGTTCGTTGACGCAGGTGGGCTGCTATTCAAAATGAGCGACGACAACATGCAATATGTGACCTCCACTTCCTTCCTGCTCCTGGCCTACGCCAAGTACCTCACCTCGGCCCGCAAATTCGTCAACTGCGGCGGAACGATCGTCACCCCGAAGAGGCTCCGATCGCTCGCCAAGAAGCAGGTGGACTACATCCTGGGAGACAACCCGCTGCGGATGTCGTACATGGTCGGGTATGGGCCGAGGTACCCGCAGAGGATCCACCACAGGGGTTCATCCCTGCCGTCGAAGGCGGCCCATCCGGCGAAGATCGAGTGCTCCGCGGGATTTGGCATCATGAACTCCGGTTCGCCGAACCCGAACGTTTTAGTGGGCGCCGTCGTCGGAGGACCGGACAGCCGCGACCGGTTCCCGGACCAGAGGTCCGATTACGAGCAGTCGGAGCCGTCGACTTACATGAACGCGCCGCTCGTGGGGTCGCTGGCTTACCTGGCTCACTCATTCGGCCAGCTCTAAAGCTCTGATTGATGGCCGACAATGGCGGCAGGAAGAAAGAAAAAAAAGCTGCTGCAGGGGATGATGGATGGAGCAAAAGGAAGAGCACCGGATTGGCGGGCTCCGGTGTTCTCGTTTGCCAATCATGGAGGAGGGAGAAGTGTCGTTGTTCTGTAGTTTAATTTTTTCCTGTTTGAGTGGCCCCCCGATTTCCGTATAAGATATGGATTGGAGGGGATCGTGTTCTTCTTCCTTCTGATTTTCATGTTTTACTTGCCGTCTAGGTTATGGAAAATGTAATGTGTGTATTTAATCGCATGCTGGGTGGTAGCTTGGCAATCAAAATTCAGCAGCGAGCTTATCCAATGTTCTGTTCTTACAAAGAGTCGTCGCCATCAAATGTGGTCACAGGGTTCAAAGACCATCATAACTATCTTAAGCATAAAAGTGCTAGAGAGTTCATCTATCTAAGCATAAGACGGGCATTGCGCTCTCGACTAATGGCTAGCTCATCGTCTAGGAGTTGGAAGCAAAAATAACAATTTGTATAACATGGTGAATGAGATAACAATGTACTACACTTTCACATTTAAATTCAAACGGATAACAACTCACTTAATGCTTAACAATAAGAAAACTAGTTTGCAAATTCGTAGAATCATATGTTAGCTCACAAAGTTCTTGAACAATTGAACATATTGATATAGAAGATTTGGTTTGTAGATTATGCTAATTCCTAGGGCTGGGAAAATAGACCAGACCGTTAGAAAAACCGTGGTCCAAACCGTACCGCACAGTTTGGTCCGGACCGTAGACCGTGAAGTATGGTCTGGTCTGGTCCATGGTCTGTATTATTTTATGATTTGATCTCTTGGTCTGGTCTGGTCTAGACCGCGGTTTACCGGACCAAACCGTAGACCCAACTGACTTGTCAATACGTGTTAACAACCCATTCGACCACTCTCCAAACTCCCACAACGACACCCAAGTCTCAACCTTAATTTTGTGAATCTCTTCCCTCCTTCATTCACAACCACATTTAACTACAAAGTAGAGATAATCGTGTCTCCATATGACATTATGTTAATGTTTATGACATTATGGTGCAAGCTGAGATGCTTTTACTTTGTATCTTTGTTATGTACTAAGATTTAGAGTATCAAAATTATTCATGCATGTTAGGATTAATGTTTTAAAGCAAATAACAATTATTTTTCTTGGTTATTGGTTCAATTTTTTGTGTGGTTGACTAAACAAATTATTCATTTTTCGTTGAGTGTGGTCTATCTGGACCAGACCAGACCGAACCAGACCGCACAGGCGTGGTCTGGACCAGACCGTATAGTCTGTGGTTTGGTCTGTGGTCTATACTTTAGCCTCTTGGTCTGGACCGTAGACCGTATATATGGTCTGGTCTGGACCAGACCGCACCGTTTCCCAGCCCTACTAATTCCCTCCCCTTGGATATTCATTACCTAGCTCCAACTAATTATGGTTAGGAGACACCTAGGCGTCGGCTTATTACGTTGACGTGTTCTCGGCACCTAATTTGCTATGGCACCCCTAGATGAGGTGTTTTTTGGTGTTGTCTAGCGCTTAAGCGTGCCAGAACACAAATTTAAGTGCTCCTTTATGAACCATGGTATCGAGTGTCCAACGACATCCAACACAGAAGAGTTTCTCTCTCGAACTAGCGTAATTAATTTATTCTCAAGCACTATTGTTTGGTTGACAGACCCGTGAGCTATGGGCGTCGTTGACAGTTTGTCACGTCGTTACATTAATATTATCGATTGTTTGGATACGAGACGATTAGAACATATGAGTTGTCAAAGCATATCATTGTTGTTTGGAATATAAACGATTTTAAGATGCAGATGAAATTCTGCGAACAAGTACTTAGTCTAGTGTTACTAACGTAAACCTGATTTTTTCTATCACCATTTTTTGGTTTTGTATGGAGCACCATAACTCAACCATGATCGTCCTGCATTCCAGCTTACAGTCCTATTGGATGGGTAGATTGATCTTGAACAAACCAGCAACTCCGACAGAAACAAAAGGAGCTTGAGATAGAGACAAAGATCCCCTGCCTGCTTCTGCCTGAGCCTCCCCATCCTCTCTTTTCCCTCTGGTTTGTTTGTTTGTTACTATGAAAATCCAAGCTATAGAGGATGTCCATAACCCATTTATCCCCACCCGCCATCTCTTCGCCATCACCAATCAACCTGGAGATTTCCATGTGCCTCCTGAATGAAAGAGCACCAAAATTGCAGAAGAAGAAGAAGACGACAGAAGCAATAAGCTCTCATTCTCATTCTCCGTATCTATCCGATCTCGAAGAGATTGGATCTTGTATGCCATACGCAGGTGCTTCCCAGGCAATGTTACAGAAGAAAACTACGCGCGCAAAATCTGATCTCTTTCCATTCTCTGTATCCATTTCTTCGTATCTATCTCTCGAGATGGTGTAACATGTGCTTGAAGGTAGGAATGACAATAGGATAGGTAGGGACGGTATCTCGTTATTCATATATTCATTTCGTGACAGATCTGGTTCACGTTGGATAATTTATTTTGAGGCTGCAGGGGCGGGTATCTCGCTACCCATATTCATTTTGTGACAGATTTTGTTAAGGTCTGATAATTTATCCTGTGTCGTGCAGGCAGTTTAGGACAAAGCAATTCATATGGATATATAATGTAAATGGAAATATTAGAAATGTTCTATCTTTTCATTTAAAACATCAAGAAACAAACTATACATGGTAAGTGTACTTAAACCATTCGATAAATTGAGATTCTCACCTATTTTTAACTTCATTTTAGCTAAAATATGAGGTAATAAACTCAAATTTTTAGTAATTTGCGTAAAATTATATATAATTTAGACAAAAACATGTAGATAATTGAACGAGTCGGGAAAAATCAAGTTGAGACGAATATACATATCCGACCACTTACAAAACGAGCATTACCCACTCCAAAACTGATCAAACATGTTAAATAAAAACGAATCCATTCGAAATTCTCATCCTACCATATAGAATAGAAACGGCGTTATTTCTTTGCCTCCCCCCATTCATGTTTCTATATTATCTTGTTTGTTCCCAACTCATGGAGGATAATCATTTATAACACTTGGCAAGTTGTTAAAGCTCGTTTTCCTACACTCAATAAGACAACAATAACTATTATTTAATAGCCGTTGGCTGAGGTTTGGGGGTATGAACGAGACTCATTTGACCGTTGAAAAAGTGGAAGCGAAAACCGAGAGAGAGAGAGAGAGAGAGAGAGAGAATTGCTCTTCTTTTCTTTCTGATGCAGGCTTTTGTGTCAGTCACAGTCCTTGACTAGTCTCTAAAACAGAGAGAAGAGAAGGCCAGCAGCAGCAGAGCAGTAGTTGTGGACCTTCCACCAAACTGCTCTTCTTTCCTTTCCCCACTTCCAGGACAGAACTCGAACATGGCCTTCCTCTTATTCTTACAGACTGAACTCTGAAACAAGTATGGAAAGTATGGAGAACTGTATCTGTATGTATTCATTCATACAAACAAATGTAGGTACGTTCTTGCTGCACCATCATCTCCCAGACTGACAATGGATGTGGAGGCGAGTTCAATAATGGGCCTTTAATTTCAAGGATGAGAATAACCCAAACTTGATAGAATGGGTTTAAGAAGAAACGAAGACCGTAAAAGAATATCCGAACTAAGAATTTGAATTATTCGAGTCATTTCAAACTTTAGATTCTAAAAAAAATGGTGTATTTGGCAACTTCGGTTCATCATCGAGAAGGTTGCCGGTTAACGGGTAATCCTTGCGTCCCCCTCGATCCCCACCTGAGAAGAATACGATTGTGATAGGAGTTTATCCTAGGGAAGTGTGCTTAATCAAGATAGGTTTGGGGGATTGTCGGAATGGTCGGTGGCTGCGCTTAATCTCATCTGAGAGAGTTTGTACTACTCTTTTTGTTTCATGAAAATCGAAAGTTGAACGAATGGAACGGTCTCGCTTGGAGGTTTAGGCCATCTTTTTTGGATTCCGGTGTAACCATATATCGAACCAAATGAGGAAATAAGGGAAGATAATTGAAAATCTCATATGAATTTGGGTCTGGTCCACCTTGTCATTCCAACTCTAAGATCCAACCAAATTATGGACCAAGCCCAAAGAATTATAAGGTTCGGTGCAATTAGCCAAATTATTCTCGAATAATAAAAACCCACATTGATGTTGATTACCGTTTCGAAGAGAAACATAGACATAGTTCGTTGTCACAATTAGGGTTGTTAATGAGCCGAGTCGAGTCGAGCTTTGCCTTATTCATGTTCAGCTCGTTTATAAACAAGCCGAGCTCGAGCCCGACTCATTTATAAACGAGCCGAGTCCAGTCGAACACGGGCCAACTCATTTATTAAATCTTGACACATTGAAAGTTCGGCCCGAGCTCAACTCTAAGATAATTTATAATATAAACACCCTAATATTTACATGTCATATGTGATACAAGTGATTACCTAATGTTATGTCATATATGAGACGTATTTGCTTACATATACTCAATGTATTAAACACTATATGAGGTGATATATACATCATTAACAAACAAACTCATAAAATATAGATAGATTTTCTCATAAGTTGTAGTCGAGTTGGCTCTCTAGTCACAATGTTGGGACATCTCATAAGCTCAAAACAAGACAGTTCATGAGTTGTATTAAACGAGCCACCTAATCGAGCTAGTTCACGAGCTTCACGAGCCGAACAAGGTAGATCTCAAGCTCGGCTCGTTTATTAACGAGCTGAGCTTTTTTTTAATCAAACAAGCTTTTATCGAGTTCAATACCGAGTCGCTCACGAATAACTCGATTCATTAACAGCCCTATCTACAATCACTACCATAACTCTCGAGGGAGAGTAAGAAGATTTATTATGCTCAAACAAGATTGAAAGCAAAATGTAACGCTTGTTCGCACAATCACACACCATCATCGTCACTTTGCAGTCTATAATGTGGCTAAACCAAGGTCCTTGGGCCTCATTTCCATCCCGAACCACCACTACACTCGTCAGCAGAATATGGGCCACCTGATCTCCGGTACTGGATAGGAAATCCATCTTAGCCCAATTACAAAGCACAGAAGCCATCATATGGGCCGCATGATCTCTCCCTTCCGTCGCGAGAAACGAAAAGTTGAATCTCGGGCTTCCTTCACCTCCCATAGCAGCTCGGCCCAACAGTTCAAGCGAGGTGTCTTTCTTCACTTCCAAAGATCCACCAAAACATGGGCCAAGAAAAGTATAATTATTGGGCCTTGATCAGAATCAGTATCCCTTTTCCAAGCTTGGCGAATAGGTGCTCTGCCTTGGTAGAGCGTATAACAGAGTTGCTCATCATTCGATAGCAAGACATGCTTTGGGTTTGTCGCCTCGGCTCTTAGCGAGGTTCGACTATATTGCTTGGTTGCGTAGTAGATATGTGCTTTGTATCTGTGAACTATGTTCGCCCTCTTTTTCATAGGTATCTAATGGCAAAAAAAAAAGGTACTCTGCCTCTTTTGGCGAAGCTACAAGATTGATGAACTCGGGGACTGCGGCCTTTGCGCTGTTGGAGGCTTCGGGTTCAATACTTGTTGCGTCTACTCAAAGGTAATGAAGGGGGGTTCGGGATGGTTACGTTCTCGAAGCTTTAGCTCTTCGTGATTGTCTTCCGAAATGTCATCGTCATAATATACAATTCGTGCTCTCCTGTGAGAGTTTGTTCGCTTCTCGATGATAGTAATGGTCCTATGGTTCTATTTATTGGTCGAAATAGGAACATAACGGTTCATTTTCTAGCTCGTCATGTTCTGTTTTTATCACCCTGTAATCTACTAATCTTGGATCTTAATCATGGTTTGACAACAAAAAAAAGGGATATATATGATGAAATATTGATGCTATTTTCAATGGTGGTTTGCCTGTAAATTTTTTGTGTGTGATAAAACTCACGTGAGCTCGTGACCAATCCCAAGTTCTCAATCACCAGCCAAGATTTGCGTTAATCGCCTCCTGCAATTAGTAAAATCATTAAAATCAGAGGGTATCTTTGCATCTGCCACCAGACAAGGAGACATTTTGTGACCTTATTTAATTTTTTCTCTTCCATTAACTCATTTCGTCCCTTTGTGAAAATCTGATTATTCTCCTTGGATCCCTTTTCATTCCTCCTCTCCACTGCGCGTTACTTTGTCCTTTCCATATCCTACCAAACTTAATTAGCGGCCTTGAATGTGCTCCAAAGGTTCATGTATTACAGTACTAATTAATAATTAGTCTACTGGACTGAGACCTTGACAATCTGATTCAGATCATCACATTATAGGGATCCAGTCCATGAGAAAAGCCAAGATCTAGAGCTAAGTGTGGTAGAAATGAAAATTTTACCATGATTATCTGAATATCAAGTTCAAAGGCGAGTGGATAATCTACCACACATATATTGTAACCGATCTATGGCAAGTAAGCTAATTTATTATGTAATTTAAAAGGAAAACATTAAAAATATTCGTTTTAAAATTTAAATACAAGTGAACAAACTAGAATATGATAAATGTATTCAAATTATTTGAGAAATTGATGTTTTCACCTATTTACAACTTCAATATAACTAAAATGTGAGGTAATAAATATAGAATCATAAGTAATTTTAATAAAATTACATGCAATTTAAGCGGATAGATAAAGGGACTGGTCAGGTCAAGTCGAGGAGAGTACTCATATCCTCCTCGCTCCTAATACCCGCCCCAATACAGATCAAACAAGATGGATAAAATGGATTAGGTTAAAATTGTCATCCCTAGTTATACTTTTAACTAATCGTTCGTACTGCTTTGTGTACGATAATTTGAAGTTGCATACTCGAAATAACGTAGCGGGGAACAATCTCTTCCTCGGAGTCGATCAACACAAGACGCAAAAGGTATACAGAAGCGAATTCGATAACAAAATTATGAATAAGATATAAGCAAGTTATCAATTCTATTTTAGGAGCCTTGATCATCAAATGGCATAAATCAAAAGCCTCCCGTTTATCTTTCCTGGGAAGTTTCAGCGCAGCGTCGTCGAATTAACTTCCATCCGAAATCTACCACCGATCCCGTCGTGCAAGGGAGAACAACTGTCCTTAATTAGACTGTTACGGCTTGATCCCCCTCCGCCGAAACCTCATTGGATCCGAGAATAATTACCCGTTTTACAGCTCACCTCTTTGCTTGGATACGTCTCCCCACTTTCTTAATGCTTAATCAAACGAACGAAACTGACGCAAATTTTGTTGAAAGAAAACAATCACATATGGCACAAACTACCCGTTTTAGATCAGAGGATATGGAATTTACAGTATCTAGCTAACCACAAAGAACAATCTCACTCTGTCATCATCACTTCAATGTTTCACTCAAATTATACGTAGCTCGTAAGAGAATCAAAAGAGCAGAAAAGGGCAGAGGCTGCCCGAAGTAAATAAATTACAAAGTGTTTGTTCCTAAGCCGAATAACATATACAGAGACGCTCAAATCTTCAATTGGGGAACGTTGAAGAAGGAAGGAATCTGCACACACGTCTGGCCTCTCTCTCTCTCTCTCGCTATGGGTTCCTCTATCTCGTGTTCTACCTTTTTGCCTCTGTATCTACAACAAACAAACAAACAAACAGAGACTGGAAGTGTGATTATGTACACATTACTACCATCTCTTCCGTTTCATATCTCCACATCCATGAACAATCCCTTCTTCTTATTCCTCTTCGGCGGCGAATCGATAGAGAAGAGTGCTACCGACAGGTCCGAAACCTCCTTCTCGCTCAGCCGCGGCTTGGGGAAACGCCGAGCTGCTCTGCTCGGGGCTCCAGGCGCTTCGATCTCGTCAATCTCGCTGTTGTAATCTATCGTCGGAGATCGAAACGCGCGGACCTTCGTCGGGGTGCTGTAGGGGAAGTGTGAATCCTTAGCTATCAAAGTCTGTTGAGGAGGAGAAACAGAGATTCAGTCAACAAAAATGAAACAAAAAATTGGGGATTTTTTGGTAGAGGAAGAGGAGATATAGAAATTGAGCGAGTTGCAGAATTAATTAAGACTTACAGATTCGGAGATTGGTTTGGAGACGAGAAGAAGCTGCTTCAGATCTTCGTGGTTCACTCCACAGAGCACCTTAATCTGCAAACAAAAAAATTAACGGCTCAATTCAGTAAAAACCGTCGAATTAAAAAAAACCAGTCACTGGCCAGGAGTTGATAAAAATGAGCCAATTAGCAGGCAGAATACGCACCAGAACGTCCTGCGGCAAGCTCTCGAGAACAGACTTCTCCTCAGGCTGCTGCTGCTCGTCCATCTCCGCCATCACTGCACCAAGCGGCTCGCTGCAGAGCCTCTTCAATGGAGTCCGAGGACTCATCTCGGAGTCCCAGCAGCACTCCATGTTCTGCGAAACGACGATCCTCTTCCTTCCGAACGACCTCACCCTCGCGAACTCGAAAGGAAGGCACTCTTCGCTCCCGCCGCCGCCGCAGGCGGCGTAGTAGCTGGACGACGACCAGTTCATCGAGCTGCATCTCCTTCCCAGCGCCATTATTGTCTTTCTCGAACAGATCATTCAACTAGATTGTGAACGAGAATCTGACGGGTGGCAGAATCGAAGAAAGGGAGAACTGAATCAATAGGAGGATTCGGGAAACCCTAAATTTTCTTGCGCGGATTTGGAAATGGTAAGTGATTAAATCTCTTTTCTGTGTTCCTTTTAAAAGTGACCGGAGAGGTTTTGTGGGGTTTATATACCAGAGAGGGGAAGTTGAAATAAGGAAAGAGGGAAATGAGAAGGAAAAAAAGGGGAGTAAAATAAACAGAAACAATTAATTAAATTAAATTAAATAACAAAAATATCTGGGCCAGTGGTGGGCTGGGCCGAGAAAATACTGGAGTTTTCCTCGAAAGAAAGATTGTGTGCTTCGAGGTGGAGTTTATCCTTTGGCGGTTAATTTTTAAAAGAATTAATATTGGCGGACAGGCGGGAGAAAAACTAGCCGTTTGAGAGTCGAGGGACACGTGGCGGGAGATGAGTCGCCATAGGAGTTGAGACCTGGACGTGTATGATGACGTGGTTGATATGGTCGGTCCAAGTCGGCTACTCGGAGCCAGCCACCTTCTCGAACACGTCTTTGATTTCTCCGCCTTTTTAGTGGGCTTTGATAAACTGACAGCCGCGGGTGACCTTATGCGTTAAAGAATAATGTATTTAATTTAATTTTTTTTAGTTGACGGATCCACGGGGTGTCCAGAGAATCCGAGGCAAGCCCAAGGATAAATAAATAAAATAAAACAAGTGGTTGGGTCTGTTCAACTAAAATGGGCCCAGCCCAGAACCCGATTATTCTATCATGTGACTGAGAAATGTCCTACAAGGGCGGCGGGTTTAGATTTAGTTGGATCGGGGAATTGAATTCAGCCACAGGTTTTCCGTGTGGAAGAAGATGACCAACCCCGCGTCTCAATCCAGAAGCCGTGAGTCAACTACACGTCAACAGCTATTCCCACACGGCCAGGTCCCGGCACTCGCCGTTTGAATGCTTCAACGGCCAACATGCCATTGATTTGTTGACCAGAATAATAGTTCAAAAAACAACTACGTTGTGAGTTTCCTCTAAGTAACAGAATCTCTTGAACAACTACAATTTCAGAGATACCTGAGAAAGTATACACAACAATCGTCGTTCCCAATGACACGATGATTTTGAAGCGATACGAGGGGTAACCCGTAAGACGAACATTAAGATCTTGTATAATGTTTATAACTTGTTTAGATGGTGTCTAATTGTACATAGCTAGTTAGGCAATTGAAACAAAATAACTATGTGTACAACATAATAAAATGATATAGTAATTTATATCAGTTTCGCACTCCAACACAAACTATTAATGACTTATATAGGGGGAAAAATTGCACATGCTCATAAATTCATAGCTCGATAACTAATAAAATTCTTGACATATTAAAAAACTTCAATCAGAAAATTAAGTTTGTAGGATTATGTTAATTTTCTATATTGAAGATTTGAAGTTCTTGCTGCACCTTTTTGAATGGTGGGTTAAATAGGTAGAGAAAAAACGACTTACGGATCAGCTTACTTAATTAGTACGACCACGGCTCAAAGAGAAAACAATCGAGTCGACCATGGACGGCAAAATTCTAATGACAGCTCGCAAATTAAGAATTGGAATTGAAAATTGAAATCATATGTATCAGATAGATTCCAATCAACCCAAAAATTGAAGGGGGAAGGGGAAACGCGTACCTTATAACTTGACATCGGATAAATCTCTGGATCCAGAATCCAGCCGGAGCAGAGGAAGACGCTGCCGGCGGCCAGATTCCGGGGCTTTGCGCCGGAGAGGAGGAGAGGAGGGATCCTGGATTTCGGTTAAGCCACGGCATCTTGACGGAAGATCTGAAAGCAGGCGAATGATTTGGTATAAAAAAAAAAAAGGAAGGCGGAGGTTTATATAGCGTGGTGCCGTGGTGGAGGGAGAGCATACTAGGGATTGGAGATTGGCGCTAGAAATTTCGCGCGAAAGAAGTGGGTTCTGTGGGAGGTGGCATTCTTTACGTGGGCTTTCGTTGGAGCTAGACGGTTTAAAGTTTTGATTAGGCCCAAATTCTCTATTGGCCCATTACTTCAAAATAGGCTAAACCCCTGTCTCGTTGTGTGCAGGCATAAAACAATGATCACAGGAATCCAACCAAATGGCCAAATAATTGGTTGATTTTTAAATTTTCGAACAGAGCCTCTAAAAATTATGGGTTCTATCAAACCAAACCAGAAAACGAAGGATTATACTGTATGCTCAAATCCAAGCAAACTCTTTATTAATCTCATCAAACTAGATAAAACTCAAATATGACCGAACTAAACCGATCCCCTATCTCCTTCTCAACTAAAACTGGTTGTTCCAGTTCCTGGCATGCCTGGGAGGGTAGAGCAGGTTGTCATGAAAATGCGGAAGGACACGAATCCTCGCATTGGGAGAGGTCATCCTGGGTCGGAGGTAGTGGTTCAAAGTGGTTTCGTCTGGGAAACCGACCGGTCCACTGCAGATGTGGGGGGAAGGAAGGAAGATGGCTACAGTCTCCAGGTTGAGCCCAGTCTCGACGAAGTAGTACAACAACTGCATCTCATGGGGGTCGAACCTGAATCCTGCCAGCTTGACCTCTTTGAGGCTTGGGTAGCACGGGCCCAGGATTCGGTCCAGGAGGCGCTGCTGCTGCACCACCCATTTGTAACCGCCTGGCCGGTTACTGTTGATAGCCATCTTCTCCATCTGGCGCAATTCGAAAAAGAAAATCGTGTTGTCAGAAAGATGCATCGTGATATGAATGCTTGAAGTAAATATGATTTGTAGTATCTGATAGGAAAACCGTTTAATTTAATATGATTCGTTTATTGGATATTTCTCGGAACAATGATATTTAAAACTAGTTGTTGTCGTCGAGATAGTCCAAACTAGACTCTCCTAATATATATGGTCTTATCATGAACTTGACTTGTGAAAACCAAAATAGTACTCTAACCCTAATTTGTTTGTCTAGGCTACAATGTTGGTGCAAGGGTTTCAAAATCTATGACATGTAACCCATAAAAGGTCTCAACATTATATAGGTTGCACGAAAAAAAAAAGATCCAATCTATTGATTATTGTATTGTTATTATTTTGTAATGGGCATTGGTCGAATGGGTGCATGTATTACTATTCCAATTTGAAAAATAAAAAGTATCAACATACCTTCAACCATCCGCGACAATCTATGTAAATTTTCTCAATGGAAGGACACTTTCTAAGGAATGACACAATAGTGAAGAGATTGCAATATCCGGATCCCTCCATAAACAACCGAATTTCTTTAAGCTTCGACAAACAAAAGAAGTTTGTGATCGTACTATCGCCATCAGATCTCCTCGAACACAAACCCTGCGTATAATGAAAATATAAGTTCGGTGAATTAGTTAGTATATACACTAAATTCTAACCAACCAAGTTCTAACAAAGATCATTTGTATTCATATTTTTTTTTTAATATTTGGCACCTCTAACAGCCTGCTTGTGGTGGTCAGAACCTCGATGTTTGACATGGCATACATCAGTTTGTCGAGCTTGTAAGCCTCCATTGGCAGAGATGGCCTAATAAATCACGAAAAACTACAACGAAATGAAGGAGAAAAAAAACACTATTTTATAACGAAAATGGACCATGATTCATAATGGAAAAAACCGAACCTTTGGGGCTTGAAGTTGAGAATGCAATCAGTCAGCTTATCGAAATCCTTGTATCTGAAGATTACCATCGGCCCAAAATAGTGCAGTGTTGTTAGGCTTGGTGCTTCGATGGTTACCTCCATGATCTCCATACATGTTACGAGTTTGCACTCTTTGAACCTTTTCAGATGCCCGGCAGCTATCCTGAAGTACGTTGGGAAGCAGCAGTATAGAAGCTCAAGAGTCTCCAATTGGAGACAAGATTCCAATAGAGCCTCGATGACGGTAAGGTCCTGCAAGCTCATTTTCTTGAAAGAAAGTATGCGAAGGCACGGTAACCCCGTGACTGCAAATTTAGTCTCCAAATCCGGTAGAACGAAGTCGCAGTACGATAATCGAAGGATCTGCAGCGTCTCGATTTTGAAGATATCGTCCGACAGCAAGAACGCCTAGGTGCAATTTTGAAAAAGTTAATCAAAATTGCATATGTATAATGGCTGTTTTATATTCGGATTTTTCTTTATGTCAATTTTTTTGTAATAAATTTAATTGAAAACTCATGAAATATATAGAAAATTTCACCAAACAATTTTTTTTTTATATAAAATGATAATAATCCAAATTCATCACCAATACTTCATTTAAATTCAAGGATTTTACATCAATCTTATTTTTTAAATCCGACTCCTAAATTTGAAGTCTAGTTTGTTTGTAATTGTTTTCTTTATCAAACTTATACAATATATTTGCTTACATATTATATAATTGAAATGTATAAGTATATATTTATCAGTTTGACACGCGGATACCTGATTGCCCTGATAGAAGTCAAAATCGAGCTCCTCGATCCCCTTCTGGGCCACCTTAATGATCCAATCTGCAACCATGGCCCAGTGTTCTTCATTATTGTCTGGGTCGAACCGAAGCTTCAGCGACCGGATCTTCGGCCCTTTGTGCTCCTCAATGATTCGGCCCACGGTCGAAACATAGAGCCCCTCGCGAACCAGTTGCTCGAAGACGGGTTGCCCGAAGTCGAGCCGCTGGCCTAGCTTCGGGCAGTCGCGAAACGGCTTGGCCAGGAGGGCGAACCGGGCCAACAACCTGATGTCCAAAAGGCTGAGTATATTCGTGAGGATGATGTCGTCCGGCAACCGGGGCAGGTCATAGGAGGTGTCATCTTTGACCGGAGGCGGGGCCGGCGGTTGCCTGGTTCGCTTGCGAAGATTCATTTGCGGTGCTGGCGGGGCGGGGATGAACCTCTTAGGAACGCTCGTGCTTTTGCGAGCCGTTTTCATGGTGAAAATTTGAGAAATGATAATTGTTTTTATTTATTGTTTTGTTTGTGTGGTGTTTATCAAAAAATATGGTGGTTTAAATAGGAAGGAGAAAAATATGTAAATAGGTAACTAATTTAACTTGGGTTAATTTATTTCTCAAAACAATAAATTTTGTTACCAAAATTTTTATTGTCTACATGAGCTGTTTGGTTGGGTATTTAATCACATTCTATGTTATGTGGAATAAAAGGCACATTCATAAATACTTCACCAAAATGATAATTTAAAGAAAATATTTTAAATAAAGGGTAAATAGCACAATAGGTCATAAACCTACTCACTTTGTACGAAACGGTCACAAATCTTTTATTTTGCACGTTTCAGTAATATATGTTTGAGAGAATAACGAAATGGTCATTCACTCCATCTCCATTCAAAAAAATCGTTAGTTTCGTCGAGTCAGCCTGCCACGTCATTTAAAATACCGATAAAAAAATTTAATGACCAAACTCAATTGAACCGGACAGCCCAAGCAAAAACCCTAATTCTATACCGCCGGACAGTTAGATCATCCTCCCCAGAAAAATGGCAACAGAGACAAAGAAGCTCAAACAACAACTGAATCTGACAGGCTCAGCGCCCTCCCGAACGACATCCTACGCGCCATCCTCATCGCCGCCGATCTCGACCTAAAAGCCATCGCCCAAACCTCCCTCTTGTCCCACCGTTGACCCAAGCGGAGCTCGCGGAGGGTGGACTTCCAGAGGTTGCGCCAAGCGGTGGGACAAGAGGAAGGTTTCGACGGTGGCTTTGAGGTCGAGATTGGCGGCGATGAGGATGGCGAGAAGGATGTCGTCCGGGAGGGCGCTGAGCCTGTCGGGTTGAGTTGTTGTTTAGCTTCTTTGTCTCCGTCGCCATTTTCTAGGAAGGAAGATCTAACAATCGGCTGATATAGAACTAGGGTTTTGTTGTTAGTTTGTTTGTCCGGTTCAATTGGGTTTGGTCATTAAATATTTTATTAATATTTTAAGTGACGTGGTGTGCTGACTGGACAAAATTAATAGTTTTTTGGATGGAGAATGACCATTTCGTTATTCTCTCAAACATATGTTACTGAAGTGTGCAAAATAAAAGATTTGTGATCGTTTCTTACGAAATGAGTAAGTTTGTCATTTTTTATGCTAATTATCCTTAAATAAATGAATAAATTTATAAAATATCCAAAAAGGCAAAATTACCTATGGTTGGATTTCTCCAATTTACCCTTTACCGGCTCACGGCAAGGTAGTAGTGTCCATTTTCGTGGACCTTAATTGGCGATAAGTTGAATGGATTTTAAATTATTTGGTAAAACATTGAATCGAGCCGAAGTGATATGGTATTTTGTTAGGGCCCAGATTTTGGTTAACTTATATATTATTTTATTTTTGGAAGTTCTAAAATTATAGAATAAGCACAAAGAGACAACGGAAATTAAGAGTTTTCCTAATTGTAAAAAAATATGAATATTTTATTTTAATAAAGCCATGGATTTATCTACCAAAACTAGGAAAACAAAAAATGGAGGAAAATAAAATTATAAGGGAACAATATAAAACAAATTTTCTGCTCATCAAAATTAACTATTGAATAAGTGTATTTTTTTTTATGACAATGTATTTAATTAATTTCCATCCCTAAATTTTTATGGGTATTTTTTTTTAGATGGGAAATTTTTTTGTCATTTATTCAATTGTTAAATATGATCAACGGAAAATTTTGTTTTATATGATTGCCTTTTTTTTTATAAAGGACCTGTAACTTTATTTATATTGTTGCCTTATGATTTGATATCTATCCTCCATTTTATGTTTTCCATTTTTATTTTTGGTAAGTAAATCTCAGCAAATTTTTAATAAAAAAGCAAATATTTATGCATTTTCTATGAAGGCAACCTTTTAATTTTCACAGCCCATTCAATTGCAAGGAACCCCACTCAATTGATTGGCATGACTCAAAAATGAAATCCAATACTAAAGGAATAAAAATAAGAATGAAGTAAAAAAACTAATTCCTACAAAATCAAATTTTATTTACCTTACAGAAAATTTGAGGTGGCAAAATCCCTTTTGGATACCTGGCATAATAAAGGAAATAATAATAATTCATACAAACACAGAAGTTCAGCTAATTTCAATCAAATTGCCCCATAAAAATTAGGGCATAGAAACTAAACAGCCAAATGTACAAAGCATCTTAAGATTCATTGTTGTCCCCTGTTTCTGCTGCTGAAGAGTCACAAGAGAACCTCCACACTGATACACAGTTTTCATTATCTGCACAACAACGGAAAAATTATAAGAAACTCAAATCTCATATGGCAAAAGCCTTGTGAAACACAGCATTTATCGAATTAAGAATACCGCTCAGGTGGAAGTTGTTATCTTCTTCATCGGGGGCTTGAAACCTTCGGTGGCCAGAAGAAGAGACGGCCATAGGCAGGAATGGATGGAAAGAGAAGCCGTTTACTGTGTCTGCAATGCATAGAACAGGAAGGTCAGAGATGAAAAGGGGAAAAATCAGATCTCTATAGAGAGTGAATACCAATGAATTTGAAATTATGAACACCTGAGGCAGCCTGAAAACCAGATATCCACTGCCCAGTTTGTAGATCATAGATGTGAACCAAACCATCCTAGACAAAAACACACTTTTAGGGTAAAAGCATAAACAGGGTACTTGGAAGGCAATTGCATAGCCAAGAAAATCAAACAGATACCTCACCACCGGTGGCAAGATGTCTGCCATGTGGTTCAATGTCGAAATATATCCGCTGATTGGTTTGCGCTGCAGACCGGTACAGCCTGTCGACAGAGCAAGTATGAGAGCAGATATTCAAGACGAACCTGAATCCGGAAGAGAAATATGCTCCGTATATATAATGGAAAAAATCATTTAACGGGGTAGGTTGCCGTTACATTTCACCCGTTATGTCACGACACACAGTGGCATAACAGAGTTTACCATAATAGCATTAGAGCTAATGAGCTGTTTTTAGAAGATAATTATCCTAAAGCTAGTAGAGTATCATTTAACGGGGTAGGTCGCTGTTACATTTCACCCGTTATGTCACGATGCACAGTTACATAACAGAGTTTACCAAAATAGCATTACAGCTAATGAGCAGTTTATATAAGATAATTATCCTAAAGCTAATACAGTATCGTCCTGACCGATAACTAAGTACCAAGTATTCGAGTGGACAAGTCGATGTGAACAACATAGGCCATTCTCATAGCTACTTACTTATAAACAACTTCAACAGCCTTCCTTACATCCCAGCACATGATATACGGGTCCTACAGGAAAAAATTTAAAAATGCTGTCAAGAAACTGAGAATAACTGCATATGCACACGAGCAATTATGATAACTATGTACAAAAGTATGCAATGCAAATACATTAACCATTTACTAGCACATCAGTCACTATTCTCATAAAACAAGCAAGCAGGGAAAACATCCACAAGTAGATATGAAGTCGACATAGGAATTAGAGGATCACAGATAAACAGTCGAAATGAGTTACTAAACCTAGGACAAGAGACATGCTAAAACAAGGAGGCAGCTTAGTTTACCTTCCGGCCTCCAGAGTATAGATAGTTTCCATCTTTTGAAAATTGCACCTAACAGGAAAGGAAATAGCCTTGTTATCGATCCCATAGTTCAAATTGGGGTATCAACAAAGAAAATCTGACTTACATGTGTAATTCCACCTTCTTGTCCATGAAGTAAATACAACAGTTCCATATTGTCTTCTCTGTAAATAGCAGTGGTCTGACTGAATGAACCAGTGGCCAGCATCCCAGTATGAGATGGCGAAAATGCAATGGCAGATATTATCCCTGTATATGCAGCAAACAAAGTTCAGAGTCTTATGCCTCACCAGTCTGAAATCATTACTACTCTGATCTGGGAGGTACCTGTTTGTCCTTCCTTGTTTCCTTTGAGGGTTGAATACTGTTTAAAATCTCTACCAGGCCGATGCACATTAAAAACTCTGATACATTTGTTATATCCAGCGAATATCCTATCAGAATTCGGAAAGAAGATCATCATACATGAATGTAAGCATCATTGATTCTAAGATTTGAATCATTTTAAAGAGAGCAATAGATGCGGTTTCACAAGCTGGAACTACTAACCATCAGATTGCCTCATAAAGATTAAATTTTCATATGAAGAAAACCCAAAGAACTGCTCTTGGTAAGGAATCATTTGCTTACTTAGTTCCATCAGAATTAAAAGCAACTGAAATGGCAGCAGTGATTTCATCCACAGCATCATAAGCACGGTATGTGCAACGCAACTGCAATATCGATAATCGAATATATTAATGCCAACTGAACTAGAGAGAAACAAAACGCAGCTACTTGCTGATAACAGAAGGCCCCTCTAAATTCAATTCGATTCAATTAGGGAACTAGAGTCCTAGAGGGTTGACATAATCATCATAATCAAGCAACAGAAGTACCGTGCTAGAAGTAGCATCCCATAGATGAATCGGATGATCACGGGTAGTAGTCGCAAAGACACAGCTAGCAGGGTCTGAAACAAGAAGAGCTCAGTTACATCAAACACCAGTCATGCCACATAATCACTCATTCGATTCAATAAGTAGGGAACAAAGAAACACCTGAAGAACTCATATAGGGATACCAACAGAAATCGTAAATGGGCTCCCCCTCATCCACAACAACGCTTGCACCATAAGAATCTGAAGTTCAAACCATTAAATTCCCCTCGTTGTTAAAAGAAGAAGCTCATTCGTGAAGGTAAAGAAACAAAACAGAACATCTGGAAATTTGCAGTTAAACCGACGAACCTGTACCAGGAGCTACAGAATAGGCAGATGGGTCACAGCCATCGTAATAATCTGGACTGACCATGGAAATGTACCTCGCTATTGGTAACTAAACCAAAGCATGCAGTAAATAAATTCACCTGAAAACCCTAAAAACTACATTTCCCCCCAGAACTTACAGGGAAAACAGCCGCAGCTTATTGTCCTCTGAACTTGAAAGAAAGCACGAGCCGTCCGGAGACCTACAGAAAACCGAGAGAACAGAAAAGGCATGAATGGGCAGCCTTTCTTCTTCACAGTTGAAGAGAATGCAGAGAAGAAATATACAACGACGAGCGGAAGAGAGGACTAGAGAGAGCGGGGTTGGGAGAGTCACTAACCATTTAACGCCTTTGTGGAAGTTGTTGGAGTAAGCAGAATCTCTGAACTGTGCAGAGAAATGGTAGTTTCTATTTGGAGGAACGTTGAACCTAACCGAAGGCCAGTATGTGTAATCGTGTTCGCCGGGGCTCGACTCCGCCGCCGTCTCTGTAGCCTCTTCGAGTACTGTATTGTTTCCGTTTTGCTGTTCGATTCTCCCGTTAGCTTCTTCGCCGCCGGGAGAACAGCTTTCGCCGTCTCGTTCTTCATCCATCGTCGCTTCCCGCGGTATCGGCGCCCCTGTCGTCGGCCGTGCCCGCGAGAAAGGCAGAAACCAAGATTTTCGAGAGTTTCTCTGGGTCACCTGGATATCAGAATATTGACTTGCTTTTGACCAGTGGGCCTCGAAAGATGGGCCTCGAAATAGATAGCGGGAGCTGGAAGGCCCAGTTTGTTAAAAGAAGTAGTCGGTGATTTACGCTTATGCCCTCTTAACTGATATATAATTACTCAGGAAGGTCGGTGTCTCAGTGATTAGTGAACTGGGAAGTCAAGAATTTGCTGGTGGATTAAAGCTCACCGTGCCAAAATGATGTAGCATAATATTACAAATGATGTCAACTATACTCAACAACGTAAATCGTATTGGATGTGATCAAACAATATCAGCATGTGCTTTGTAAAAATCGGATATCGAAATTTGACAGTAATGCAATTCAAGTATGGGTTGGTCTACTACAACATAAATTTCCGTACTTTTCCGGAATTAACTTTAGAGCCTGGTTCACAATTTAATGATAGAATGCAGTTCTGCAGATACTTCATGCATTGCATCAGTAAGAAACTCATAAAATAAGATCTTCACAAGTTCATTGTACAAGTAAAATCATCTTCACGAATGACTACAATGAAGAGCTTCTCAAGAATGGGTCGTCCTTGTACTTCGAGTAGAGTGGAAGATCGAGTGCTTTCTCTGCAACCCTCCCGTCCTCGTGAATCTTGGCGATCAAACTCTCGAGAGTCGAGAAATTAGCCTGATTAAAAATCGACCAGTTTTAGAGAATGTAAAAGACGAGGATATGGCAGAGAGCCAGAATCCAGAAATAGAGCAAAACCGAATGCACTATGTACCTCTGGTCGAATGTAGCCAACTATAACAAGGCGCAAATCTTCGCCATAGAAATCTTCTTTGAACTCATGAAGCAACCATGGCTCCTGTAAAAACAAAATGCGGATTGGATTTGGAGAACAGAGGGAAAAGGGAATGTCGAGACCAGCTTGTAATATGAGTGGATGCATTCATTACAATTGTCTTCTCAGTGTTGTTGAAATATGGGTTCCAGCCAACGCTCATGGCCATTTTGTAGATACCTCTGGTTGACAATCCAGCCCACCCAAAATACACCCCCGAGGGATATTGTGAAAGTAGATCCGAGTATCCTTCCGTGGACAGATTAGCTGAAGCAAATGATGACATTCAATCAGGCTGTATTTGGGGATCATATATGCATTTTATCCAAATGAGTAGCTCTCTGTACCTGTGGGGATACCAAGAACCTTTGAGCCACGGCCATATCCCTTAATTACAGGGCCACCAATATGCCATGGTTCTATTGGCAAAGTGCCCTCAATCCCTGCAAGCATATGATTCATAACAGCTGAGAAGCATAAAAGCTTCACGCATTCATCTGAAAATCAAAGCAATATGGATTACTAAAGCTTACAATCTTCAAAAGGTGGAAGACCCCATTTTTCTGGATGCAAATCTAGTAGAGAATTTATCAAATCGTCTGCAGCTGTGAAGAGATCAGCTTGCTTGGGGATCGAGGGTACAGCAACTACTTGCATTCCAGCAGCCTTGCCACCAGTTACACCAGGCCTGTTGCAGTTCAATCCTCCCAAATATTAGTGACTAGAGAGGAGACTCAAGGAAAACGAAAGTGGGATTTAGCAGAGGTTCAAGAACAAATATCACTTACACAGAATCCTCAATCACTAAGCAGCACGAAGGTTCAATGTTTAGCCTGTTAGCTGCTTCCAAAAATCTGGATTTTAGTTCAATTGGTTAGATCTATGACGATGACATATTCCACATAAGTAGAAAGCTAATTTGACAACTGAGATCATACATATCCGGAGATGGCTTCCCGGCTCTTACTTCATCACCGCCAATAATCACTGAGAACGATTCCTTCCAACCTATTGTAAAACAGGACAATGGTAATTAACACACTCAACCAAACTAGAGGCTGCCGTTACTGAAGGTGAACCCAAAAAAAAATGTTGCAAAATGACAAAGAAACTACCTTGGTGAAAATTGATTTTAGCATCAACATTTGCCTTCGGAGAGTTTGAAGCCAAGGCCATGGGTACTTTATGATCACTCAGGTGTTTGATCAATCGACAGGCACCTGGAAGAGCTTTGACCTTGCACCATCTGCAGAATTGCAAGAAAGATACTCCATGATTTAAAACATCCAAGGTTTATGACATATGAGAAATAATCGTGCAACAAAGTATTAGCAATAGTAGTTCAAATGCTGCAAGACTCGAGATTTTAAACTAATCCATACACACAAGCAAGTCGCAAGTCAATTACTGGTCTGAGAACATTGGAGTGATTTCACTCATAAATTCTTCTGTTGAGCAAGGAAGTCCATATTCTTGTACTACAACAGCAGAAGCTTCTATGGGTGTCTTCCCAACGATTTTATGAACTTCTCTACCATCCCATTGTTTGCCGTACTTCACCAAGAAAACTTTCATAACCCCGCCTACCAAGGCGTCTGCGAAGAAATTACAACCATAATCATTCCACAATCTGGAAACAAACAACAAATCGATAGCAAGTAAAAAATAAACAGACCCAGGATAGAAAAAGCTTACCTGTATTGAGAAGGGTGCCATCCAGATCGAGAATCACCCCTGAAACCAACTTCTTCAGGCTGCTTGCAACCGACATCTCAGGGATCAGAACGAGACCTTAAACAAAACTTGATGGATATCTGAAAGAAAAGGAAATGACAGTCATCAAAAGTCCGCACGGGCAATAACAAAAACCAATATACTCAGAATCCAAACTAAGGAACATGGATTTGAAAAGGGTATTGCCAGGACTTCATTCATTTACGTCGCAGTTAGAGTTAGACCTTAAACTAAGGATATTTGTCCGCAAGAAAAGACCGTACCTTTCTACAATCGCTTAACTTCTCATTCGCAGGTAAAAGTCTAGGCAAGCCACCGAAAGAGTCCTCAAGGGTGCAGAAGATAAAACTCAGAGTCCTAAACGAAAAACTTTTAAACAATTATACCAATAAATTAAAGGAAATCCTAAAACTGAACAACGCAATTAACAAATTAATAAACTCGAACCAACTTGTATTCAATCACTGTAAAGGGTCGAACTGGATCCTCTCCTAGTGCCATAATTGCTTACTTCTCGGCCAATCTATTCCACTAATAATACGAAGCGATATTAAGGAAACAAAAACTGTTCTACAAGACACAATCTCAATTTCTCTTCACTGCTGAACCACAACTTAAAAAAAGTTGCAGGCATTTCATCACACAGATTATTATATACTAACAAAAAGAACCAACAAACCAAAATCACGATAAGCAAAGAATTCGAATGGATGCCTTACGAAAGCGGAACTAACGAAGACACGAGCTCGAAGAATAAGATTCCGCTTTCTCCATCAAGCTTCCCCTGCTTATGCTAGATACTGCAATTCGCCGGCTCCGAGATTCTCTGTGAGCAAATTGCCGAGAAGAAAGATGCTGCTAGTGCCGACTTTAAATTGATTCCTTCCCCAGCTGGAAAGCTGTTCTCCGCAGCTGCATCGATCTGTCCTTCTAACGGCGGCACCTAAATCCCTGCCGGCGGGGGAGAGTGCCAGGTGAAGGAGACGAGAGCTCTGCCGATAGTTGAGAAAGGTACGATTAAGGATTAATGGATTATCGTCGGCGAGAGGAGTCGAAGGGAGAGAATAAACTATTTTCAGGGGACGATCCCGTTCATATGATTCTCCATCAACCGAATCACATTCTACCACGTTATCAGCAGAAATTGGCAATGGGCCGAAATGGGCGGGCTGGGCTCTTTCTAAAAAGAAAAAACCTGGGTCTGGCCTGCGGTCCAGACAACCTGACTAAGCTACTCGCATTCGTTTCCTCCTCTAGATTGGGCGAATGATTTTGAGAATTGAAAACTGTTCTGGACTAAATCCTTTCACGGCTTTAGTGCAATAGTGAAATACGTCTAAAAATCAAGAACCAGAGTGACATTGCATTTAGTTAAGAGTAGTCCAATTCGGTTTATTTTTTTATATTTATAAAATTTATGGGACCAAACCACATTATGTTTGGTTCGGTATGGTCCGGTCCCAGCGTAGATTTGATCCAGCACGGTCGGGTATGGACAACACAGTTGCACACTCCTAGCCTCACTTACACTTGTTAAAACTCATAAGAATAGAGAAACTTTTTCTAGAGATGTTATTGCTTCCAGTATTACTAGATGAAGACAAACTGGGGCGAGGTGCTCTTTACATAGGCTTCACCTCCAAAATATACAGTTAAGATTAACCTAAGCACACAATTAAGATCTAACATCTATAATACTCTATACAAATATCTATAACCTAGAACCTTCCATGGAAATATCAAGTCTTGGTACTTCTACATGATTCACATTCTTTAAAGGTCATGTAGAGTGCTCAACATCCTTCTTGGAACTTCAGATATGGCATTATCCCCTACGACCCTACCTAATTCTTGATGCCCTCGCCATCTAGCCTTCTTCACATTAGTTGCATTGTTTGCATGGTTGGGACACACTTGATTGCGAACCAAGAGTATGCGAAAGAGTTTCGCATTTTCAGGGCATAGCTACTTTTTTTTTATCTCCCTCTTGAAGTCATCCTACGTCTCCATGACGTATGTCCCTCCACAATAACATAATAGTGGTATCAACAAGATAAAAAGGGGTGGTATGTACCACAACATTCTCGTCTCGAATGTCGAATGCCTCAAAATATTGGCCAAACATCCATAGTAAGTTTGATAACTCCCTCGTATTCCTTGACTCTCTAAAGCTCTTAGGTTTCAAAACACCCCATACTTGGAGCGGGTTATGATACTACAGGTCCGTTAGCCATGGCCCTCATTAGGAGATTCACCTCTCCCTTGAGCTCGACAACCTCGTCCTTCATGCTAGCAAGCTCGACCCGAGTCGTTTCTCTTAATGACTTAGCGGTGTTGCCGATGATGCCAAATAGCTCACTGTAGAGTGCCTCCAACCCTGGCATGTGTTACCCCGTCATTCACATGTCACCCATAAGTTTTTGGACGCTTGTCTTCACTTCCACATAGCATTGTCCCGAATCCTTGATTGCATATATATGCTCGGATTTGATTTCCCATGAAACCGCCCAGTTTGGGCTAGTTTCAAAAACATCCTAACATAGTTTCAACGGCTTAATAAGCACAACATTGCCCATACATACTCAATCATGTATCATGTACATAGAGAGTTTTACAATTGATAAAAAAAAAACTTATAGGCATACTTCATAGTCTTAGATTCAAGATGATTCACTTAGATGTGACCCCTACATTAGTTTCTCACGAGTGTTTCAGTAATGTCCATTTTCACTACACGACTTGTTACTTATATGGAATAAGTGTATCATGTTATCGTTTTGGAGATGACTAACATACATTCACATCTTCGTCATACCTATTACCTCTAAGACCATGCATGTAATTTCAAGTGATGGAACTTATATTATCTCCTATGATGTCCCGTGACATGTATTAAAAATTAAAATGTTATCAACAATGATGTCTCGTGTGATGGATGATGAGTGGTAAAACGTAGAAAGAGAACGGAAGTATACCTTGAGTTTAGGTTACATTCCACAATTCAGGTTATTTATATGTTTTGTAGCGTTGCTTCAACAACTTGGTCGTTGTAGTATAGTGGTAAGTATTCCCGCCTGTCACGCGGGTGACCCGGGTTCGATCCCCGGCAACGGCGTCGTTTTTGTTTCCCAGTTTTCCATTTTCTGTCGGACTCGGATCTTAGACCTTGCTGAAAAGCGCGCCATTACCATTTTTTCAAGGTGTTTCTGCTGCTTCCAGGGTTTTAGGTTTTCTGCTCTGGAAAACAGGAATTGATGGAAGCAAAAGAGTAGCAAGTACAGTTTAGTAGTAGAAGCCTTCTTGATTCTTCTTTATATTTATCTTATATTTGAATTACGCGCGCATAGACCTTCTTCTACTGCTCAGCCATGGAAATGGATGATTCTGAGCACGTGGTTCCGTTCCAGCTTCAGTTCGACAAGCCCATCGCTTCTCAGGTTCTTCCAATCCTCATTCTTCACTGAATTCTGATGTCCTTCACTGCCGAATTGATTTGGTTTCCGGCGCCTGTATTTGGGGTTCATTTCGTTCTTGACTCCTTGCCCGGTAGGTGAAAATTGCGGAATGGAACCCGGAGAAGGATCTATTGGCAATGGTGACGGAGGACTCGAAAATCACGCTCCATCGGTTCAATTGGCAGAGGCTATGGACCATTTCACCAGGTGATTGTCCTGCTATCGCCATTTTTTGCAGCTTTTCATGTTCCGTGCCCATCAGTTTATGTCTGTGCTGCTAGCTGATGCTTTTCGATGGGTTTCTGGGAATTTGGTCAGGCAAATCCATTACGTCTTTGTGTTGGCGTCCGGATGGTAAAGCGATAGCTGTAGGGCTTGAGGATGGAACCATTTCGTTGCATGATGTAGAGACTGAGGCAAGTATTTCATTTCCTTTTTTGCCTTGTATCAACAATGCTGTAATCGGGTTTTCTGATCCATGTGTGCCATGTTTATTTAATAGAGTGGGAAATTGTTGAGAAGCTTGAAGTCTCATGGTTGTCTGTCTTAACTGGGAAGAGGAGAGAGAGCTGGTTAGAGCCATTTTCTTGTCAGTTCTATCTGCTAGCTCGGGATTGTGGAATTTCTGACGACTTTACTCTCCTACTCAGTGGTCATGGTAACTTACTTCTCATACCATTTTTTTTTTTCAAGCCGACTTTCAGAACAACTCTGGCAACTCGTTGGTTTTTGAAGACCGTACTCCCCGATTCTTTCCTCCTGCTCCAAGGGCTCCACGGATGTCTGGTGTTGTGACAAGTGATGCCAGTTTCATGGATGATAGTGAAGATTCATACAGGCAACTTTCCAATTCGTCATACCAACGCTTTAATATTCTGTGCAGTGGAGACAAAGACGGGAGCATTAATTGGTTTCTCAATGCAGCACTGGACTCCTCTCCCCAGGAAGAGTTTCTGAGCCTTTTAGGTGGTGGTCGTACTAGTCCGGCTGTTCATCAATTTCTAGTCAACACTCTTGGAGAAGTGGCAGGCTTCACTCCTTGCACAAGTTCCAGTTTCCTGAATCTGCAGATCGTTGACATATATTTCCTCTAATTTCTGTTTCATTGGTAGGGTGTCAAACGTGTGTCAAAGGTAGTCTGCGGTGCTGGAAAAGAACGTCAACGTGTAGTCCTTGAACATCTTCAGGTGCACAATTGTTTTCTGTGATTGTTCAGTATGAAGATGTTCATCAAGTTTTCATTGGCATTCATGTCTGCTTCTTTTATAAACCCATCAAAAAGTTGCATGGATCATGCTGTAGTTTTGCTTTTGCCATTTAGCTCTACTTGGCCCTGATTTAATAAGTCTTGAGATGACAGTAAGGGGTACACGCTTTTCCTAGCCTGCTGCAGAAATAATTGCGTTTAGGATGGGAGAACTGAGATGCCTTTCAAGATGGCTTCACGCTTCCAGGTTATAGGTTTGGATGAGACGCTTGTTGCTTATGCAACAGAAAAGTCAGGCATGATGTTGGTACAAGTTGAACAATTCATGAGGGTGCTCACTTCTGTGGAGCAGCAGGTATCATATTTTTCAATCTACATGTTGATTACTATTTACTAGCACTTCAAACTTCGTTCAGATAGAAGAACTTCATGTTTTTTGGGTCCAATGCCATTATACATTGGTGTCAGCTTTTAGCTATACATAGTTTTATTCAATGCTCAACAGTATGCTTCTGCTGTAATTATTATTGGCAGTGACGACTCAGATAAAAAGGGGTCAATTTCTTGGTTATCCATTTGCGTCTTAAGTCTCAACCAGTATTTTCCTCTGCTTTGTTTTTCAGCTTTCCAATTTCTTCAACTGGCTTCTCAAATGTATAAAGCTGTTGATGCAAGAACCAAGTGATCAACTTCTTCCATATAATAGGTTTCGCGGTCAATCCTTCTCCTGTTCAATACTGCCATAGGCGTTTATTTAGTACTGAAAGAAAATAACCATTATTTTGGCAGTGAACTTGTTGTCATATTCATGAAGTTCCTATATAATCAAGATCCAGTTAGAAAGTTGCTGGATCCCTCTGAAGTTGATCAACCAGTTGAAGCTGACTTGTAAGTTCCCCTGTAGATCAGTACTCTTTTTACAGCTTCTGTAATCTAGACTTGGTTGTAAACTTGTAATACCTAGTCATTAATAGGCCATCATGGACACTTTCTCCTTTGAAGTTCCAGACAGTTGTTTCCATGGAAAGTTGAAGAGTTATTCATCAAGCTGGTTCCTGTTAACCCGAGACAGGGCAATGTGTTTTGAGTTCTGTGTGAACTGCTTTCTAGTTGATTCTTAAACCAAGGCATAAAAATGAAATTCCCATTTTCCACTTGTTTTACCAGTACCCTTGGGTCGACACCGAAAGTGCTGAAATTCATTGTTAAGTTGCACTTATGCAAAGGTGTTAATTTTTCTGTCTTTTTATGCAGGGAAACAATGCAAAGTGTCCAAGACTTAGTTCAGTTCGGGGAATTTTGGGATACCGAATATCTTCGCAGGACATTAGCGAAAGAATTCCAACAAATGGAGTCTAGGTATCTATTTTTGCATTCATGTTATAGATATCTAGTTGAAACATGCGGATGTAGCTATAGAAATTAACGAACTTCCTGTTGTTTACCTCTCTCTTTGAACAAACTTAATTTCAAGGAGGCTTTTCTGATGCCATTTACCACAATCTCAAGGAAGATACATGTCGATTTGCTGCCTCTCTTTCCTCTTCCATCTTTACCACTATCCAGATCTACCATGATTCCCATGTCAATATCATATTATGAGGTACTCGTGCGCTGAAGCATTCTGGTTTTCTACGTGATTAATTGATTTTCTTGATCTAATGTTTATCCAAGTTTCTTCTTTCCTATTGTAGGATGATTCTGAAGCAAATGACAACAACTCTATGGATTATATATGCTTTCAAGTCCCCAGTGAGTCCTTTTCCAACGATGGAAACTATGTAGGCATAGTACGAGGTTTTATACATGACCAGAGGAATGTTAAAAGGTGACCAGAGGTATGTTAAAAGGGGTTATTCCACACTGGAAGCTGTCCTGCTGTCTATGCCAGCAGGTTACAACTGTGCTGATCTGTCGCTATACAAGGTTTAGTCCTGAACCATCCGTGAACCAGTTAGTCTGTTTGTTTCAATACATTTTCATGTTCATAATCCAGTATTGCTTTAAACAGGTTGCTCAGGTTGTTTTTCTACTGAACGGAGCAACAGACACCCCTGAAACCTCGGGGGATGCCTGTATGATGATTGTTGCAGCTAATGAGCTACCATTTGTATAAGTTCCGCGATCGGATGACCTAAGCCTATGGAAAATGCATCACTTACAGGTTAATCCCAGTCTGCTCTCCTTTGGATGAGTCCCTAAACAAGTATGTTCTGTAGAATTTTCGCATGAGTCCCTCCGTTAAAATTTCTGTCTGAATCAGTTACTAATTTGGTCGACTCTTGCGTAGTAACCACTTCCTTACACTCAGATGTCATATAAACACTTGGCAGATGTGAGATTCAGGAGTTGAATTGATGGACAAGACATCAACTTGTAGCATACCCTCATTCCGTGATCGCTCCTTTAGCAGTCAGTGGTAATGTCTTCAGGCTTTCTTTCAGTTTCATTAATCATTAGTTTCTGTTGTGGCCTTTTTTTTCGACTGGAAAAGAGCCTCTTATCAAATTGCAAATTTCTCTCTTTTTTGACTTGGAACAGCGACAAGGGGCGTGGCTTGTGTTTTTGCTGCTAGAAAGCGTGCGCTGGTTTACATCCTTGAAGAAGATGAAGAAGACGTTCTTGAGATCGAAAGTTGAATTGATTCTCTCCGTTGTTTTCCTCTATCGCCAAAATGTTGCAAAGATTATTCCCTTAGCGAGGAATTCTACATTTTCCCTAGTAGTAGACCATTTAACGATGTTTTAAGAAAACCCTCAGTTCAGTGATCATATATTTAATCCAACAGATAGTTCTTTGATTCTTCTCCTTACATTTTATATACACTTCTTTCTGCTTCTATGATCTATCGAACCCAAAAGCCAGCTTTCTAACGAACTCAAAAATCAAAATACAACTACATAGCATCTGAACAATCCTTCTCCAACTGCTGCACTCTCCAGCTCCATGGATTCCCATCTCTTCTCAATACTATCATGTTCTCAAACGGCTTGCAGACACACAGAGGCTTGCAGCAAATCATCTACAATTTTAGCAAAGCTTCCAGAAGTTGTGTAACCTAAACTAACACCATGTCAGCATAAACCTAACTTTCTTTTGCTCTGGAAGGGACGGAATCACGTCTTCCGAGATCTCCATCACCTCACCAGTAGAACCATTCTCTATCTTCATATCTTTCAAATGACGAGTCCAAGAAGTAGCTTCATTCATGCCACTAGGAGAGCTTAACTTCAGATACTCCCGGCACATGTACTGTTCCAGGCATAAACAGTGAGTTTTTGACATATTCATTACAAGTAAAGAACACATTAGCATTCGTATAAGAACGTACCTCAGCAATCAGGGCACTGTCCTCTCCCTTGGCTATTGACATGAACTTAGGAAGACAAGCCCAAAACAGACTATTTACAAAAGCGGCTGCCTCTTCTATGTCACAAATCCTTTCCAGAAGTGGACCAAATTGCAGTTCATCAATCCTTGGAGGTGGGGCAGCATACACAGCTTGGCTTAGACGTGGAACCTTTCATTTTGAATATCCAAGTGAAAGAAATGAAAAGGGAGGATAGATTGTCACAGCAAGTTCTACTATTATATGCATATCAATCATGATTGATGCGAAGTTGCAGAGAATATCTTACCTGTTGTTCTGATAAGGAAAAACAAGAGGTGAAACGCAAGATAAGGTGGCGGAATTGAGTGAATGTGGTGGAGAGGGACAGCCTCAACCATTGTGGTGTGAATTCATCCACATACGAAACCACATATACTGTAGATTGGCAATCAGATGCCAAATTGACAACATTGACTTTCATTAAGGGATAACTAGGATTAACAGCCCCGAAGAGACTAACCAAATTAGGAGCATCAATATCAAGCTCCTCCAAGCCCTGCCAGATACTCATCTTCTTGAGCTTTGGAGACGAAACCCTTAGTCTACGCATTTCCTCGGGGGGACATTCGCTTCCCCGCCTTCCACCCCTATCAATGTAACCCAAATACAAACTCTCGAGGCAAGGAGAAGAGACAACCTCCAGCCTATCAATCCCAAATATTCGGTACAAATTCAATGACGCGAGGCAAGGAGAATTAGCCAAGATACGGTGGAGAAGCTCTTCACTGAGGCTGACATTATCGAGACGGAGGAACTCGAGGCTGCCAAGATTATCATGAAAACCTAAAGTAGTAGCAGAGGTGAGATCACAACCACGGAGGGCGACAAATTTTGTGCGACTCCAATTTGGAACCAGCAAACTATAGCCGGGATGTGATTTGAAGCCAAGCACAAACATAACTGGAGATAAGCCATTGCCATTGCTGATTAACAACAGCAAACGGTCGATGTCCTCCTTCTGAAAATCATCATCAACATAGATACTGAAATCCTCAATTGTTGCTACTGCTGCACAACTACTACCACTATTGCCGTGATCCGAATCAGAAAGCAGCCGCAGCAGCTTCGCAGAAGTGGACTCAACGAAGCTGCGGAACCGACTCTGATTTTGTTTCGAGAGCTGGAACTCCACGTGAGGGAAAGAGCGCCAGAGGTGGAGCCATCTCCTCGACAGCACGCTGGTTTTGGCAGCTGCCTCTGGAGAGTTCAGGCAACAAAGGATGGTGTGAATGATTTCGTCTGGAATTTGGGAGATTCTGTCCTCGCCATCTCCTCGTCCTAATTCTGTCAAAACCCTAACCATTTTCCTGCCGGAACACATTATCGATTACTACACACCTAATGGTACTGATTCGTGTTCTACTTCTACCACAAATGGAGCTTGGAGGAAGAAAGCTCGTCGTCGGCGTACCTTAATAACGGGGCTTCTGCCTCGATCCTTAGACGGTACCGAACCTATCAACGTCGTCCGGCGACTGGAATTCGCTTCCTTCCTTCTGCTCTCAGTCCGTCGATCAGTGTCGACTGTTGCGCGGCTGGAGTGGAAGTGCAAAATTTTTTCCGGATCTGACGGTCATTTTGCTAGCTGGGCCGGAGGCTGGGTTTGCTTTGCCGGGTTAAAAATCCAATATAAGATCAACAATAAATGGGCCACCATTTGTTAATATCCTTTCATAATGCGGTCCATGAAAAACAAACTAAGCTATGGGCCGGGCCTGATCATTAACCGTAGGTGTACTTGTTATCCGCAAGGATTGAAAAACCGTACCGTACTGTCGGTTTGACCAGAAAAACCTCATATCAGAAGCGAAATTGGTAGACGGTATGTAATGGTTGAACCACGATTCAGCCTAAAATATCCTACCGCTAAGTTTTTCGGTACAACCTCCGATACGTTATTTCAATCCTTGATTATCAGAAACTGCTATGATAATTGAACTTGAATCTATGTGTATATATTCCGGTCAAAGTGTATAAATTCAGCGTTGAAGGATTTTAGCTCGCACCCGCACCATAAATGCAACATAAGAAATCCAACTTTTGCTTGGTTTGCAAGGGATGGAATCAAGCCTTTTGGAAATCTCCATCATCATCTCACAATTTGTATAATTTCCCATCATCACATCTCTCAAATGATGCCTCCAAAACATAGCAACTTCCGATTATAAGAACAATCTGTTTGTTATCATCTCATTTTCGTTCGAACAACACACTGATCCTTCTATAATTTGGTTGTGATGGTTATAGGGGCTTCATAAACACTTGCTTAGATTTTTTTGTGTGAATTCCCGGAAAAAAACATTCTAATTTTTGTTCACACTATCTTCTAATTATTTTTATGGAGTCAAGTCAACAACATATTTCATCAGAATAAAGAACGCTACCAATTAAAAATGGAAATCAAGACGAGTTAGTAAACAACATCGATCACAAATCCTATCAATCAGGTATACAATGGAATGTTACAGATGTAAATGTATTGACTATAAACTGATCATCGAACAACTTACAGATGGAAATCACACTTCTTCGTCAGTAAACAACATCCATCACAAACAAAGATCCAATTATCCAAACAAACCATTACGAGGAAGACGACTGAGCCACACAAAATTGGTTCATCGTCCACCAAACAGACATGGAGTCATTAGCCAAATTTAGTCGACTCTTTCGTCTTCTAGCTAATTAAGCAATGGCTAGAACGAGTTCATCTCAAGGGAATAGCTCCTTGTCTTCAGCAGCGCTCCAACAACGTCCTCGTAGGCCCCACCTCCATAAGCAGCCATCGCCATCTCGCCGTCGCCCTTCTCCTCCTCCACCGCCACGTCCCCGCCGCCGCCGCCCGACGAAGGCCGTACAACCACCAGCGTGGCGCTCTGAATCCACGCGCCGCTCTCCAGCCGCAGCTTCCGCTGGTGCCTCATCCTCATCCTCACGCTCGGCAAAACCGTCCTCCTCCCCTCCCAACCTCCATCTCCGCCGCCGCCGACCTCCACCTCCGCCGACCTCCTCCACTCCCGCAGCCCGTCCTCCTCCATCACCAGCGTCCCTTCCCCTTCCGCGTCCTTCAGCACCAGCCGCTCCATCCCCTCCGCCACCACGTCCCGCAGCAGGTAGTGCCTCGCCGACGCCGCGATCAGCGCGCTGATCGTCCACACCACCACCGTCTTCATCCCCTGCTCCAAATCCAAATCAGAATCCGAATCCTCGTCCGAATTCCCAATCCGAAACCCGAGGATCACGCAATTCCGCAGCGTGGTCCCGAATTCCGCCCTCCATTTCACCAGCACGCCCTTCTCCATCTGCAGGTCCCCCGAGGGGAGCTCGATTTCGAGCCGCCGGATTCGCTCGAATCCTGACAGTATCTGCCCCGGCGAGTAGCAATTCTGAACATCCGCTTCCTCGTCGTCGCCGCCGAGGTCGAAATTGAGCAGGCCCTGGATGGACTGCACGATTGACTTGAAGAAATCGAGGAACGGGGAGGAGTCGTCGTCGTCGAAGAACGCGGAGGAGGAGATGACTCGATCGACGCGGAGGGAGAGCGACTCGGTCTCCGGGACGAGCGAGTTGAATCGTTTCGACACGGATCGGCAGCGGATCAGGGTCTTGACGTCGGAGACGCTGTTGAAGATGATGAAGATGAGGGAGTCGGGAAGGCGGTCGAACAGGTCCTCCACTACTACTACTTCCTCCATTGTTAGAGTTGTTGCTTCAGGTGGAAAGCACGGGAAATGTGGCGTTTTTATTTTAACCAACTGGTGGGAGTCGTCGAAACTGTTTGTTTGTTCGGTGGGGCCCGCCGCGCGCAGTGCACGAGAGAACTGAAAAGCCGTCACCATCGATAATTCCCGTGGCGTTTGAAATTGGTTTCTTTCCTCCTCTTGTTGTTAATTACTCGAAACTGACAAAAGCCGGCTTCGGAGATTTTGGTCTGAGACAGAAATGATTGTGATTAATAATGATAATAAAGTAATTAGTAAGTGGAAGAAAGAATGTAGATTTGGGGAAGCTCGAAGATATGTTGCAGCAGGAGTCTTCCCATCCATTTATTTAGTCTTGCCATTAGTAGTAAGAAGGCGAATTAGGAATAAGTAAAATGTTGAATTGAAACTCTTCAGAGCGTTTGGAAGAATTGACTCTTGAATTTTTGTTTCCCGTGACCGTAACTCCGAATAAGTCCAAGGACGATATCAGTTATTGGAACCTGTTAGTTTAAGACAAATTTAAACGATAACAAATGATGTGAAAGATATAAAAAAATTCGAGAGATCTTATCGTTAGCAAAGAAGTTGCTGCCTCAGTCTTCCAACGGTTAACTAAATATTCGAGGTCACAAATCCATATATGTAAGTTAAATGCTTTAGACACAAAAGTTAGCCTTCTTACAAAAATCAAAACACCAGATGAGTCAGCCCTTTAAGTGCTGCATCTCCAGCTCCATGGAGTTTATTATCGACAAACATGTTCCAAACAACAACTTGCACCACAATGACATTTATGAAAGCTTTCAGAACTTGAGTAAAACTTAAACTAAAACCATATCAACATGAACTTAACTTTCTCTCGCTTCGCAAGGGAAGGAATCATATCTTCGGAGATTTCCATCATTTCACCAGTAGTATCATTCTCTATCTTCATATCTTTCAGATCATGGCTCCAGGAAGTAGGAGAATTCACATCATTAGTCACATCATTAGGACGATCTATCTTCAAATACTCTCGACACATGCACTGTTTCAAATACGAGTAATCAAATTGCGCTTAGCCGAATCGTTACGAGGAAAGAACAAGAAGGATCATTCACATATGTAAATGAACAAGTGTGTACATACCTCTGCAATCAAGCTGACATCCCCTTTAGCTATTGACATGAACTTAGGACGACAGACCCAGAACAAACGATTTAAAAATGTTGCAGCCTTCTCTATGTCACTGACATCCCACCAAAGGGGCTCACATTGCACTTGATCGATCATTGGAGGTAAGAAAGCGTACTCGTCGTCGGTTAAGTCCTCCGACTCCTTTCATTTTTAGAAAATGATCAAAGTGAAGAAATGCAGAACTTATTACATCTATACAAAAGACAGAAGAGCTAATTTGCATTGATGATGAATTCATTGCAGCTAAGTGATGAGTATCTTACCTGTTGTTTTGATGGCCGAAACATAAAGTTGGAAACCAAGTTCAGGTGGTGGAACCGAATGAAGTTGGTGGAGAGGAACAGCCTCAACCATTGCGGTTCGATTCCCACATATGACTGCACATGAACTGTACACCGGCAGTCGGATGCCAAATTGATAACATTGACCCTCGTAGATGGGTCGCCAGAATAAACAGTCCAAGAGAGACTGACCAAGTTAGGAGCATCAATATCAAGCTTCTTCAACCCTGAACACAACGACAAGCTCAAGAGATTTGGAGACAAAACCCTTAGCCTCCTCATTTCCCAAAACCGATCTTTCTTTCCACAGGTATAAATTTCACTCAATAACAAACGCTGCAGGAGAGGACAAGAGACCAACTCCAGCTTATCAATCCCAAATACTCGATGCAAACTCAACGATACGAGGCGAGGAGCATTACCCAGTAAACTGTGGAGAAGTTCATTGCTGAGAGTGACATTGTCAAGACAGAGCGACTCAAGGCTGACCAGAGAAGCACCATCAGCAGTAACAACATCGGTGAGAAAGCAACCACTGAGGCTGACAGATTTCATGCCACTCCAATTCGAAACCGGCAAACTGTAGCGGCGATTCCATTCGATGTCCCTGATACAAAGCTCAAAGTGAACTGGAGATAAGACACTGACATTACTGGTGATAAACAAGAGCAACCGGTCCAGGTACTCTTTCCCAAAATCACCCTCACGAAGTGAGATACTGAAATCCTGAATTGCCGTTACACCTGCACGGCAACCACCGCTGATGTGGTCAGAATCCGATGGCTTTGTTGGCGGGAGCTTCCTAAAACAGGATTCGACGAAGCTGCGGAACCGACTCTCGTTTGATTTGGAGGGCGGGAACCCAAAGGAAGGGTAACCTCGCCACAGTTGGAACCATCTTCTCGACAGCACGCTGGTTCTCGAAGCTGCATCTGGAGATTTCAGGCGATTAAGGATGATGTGAATGATTTGATCCGGAAGGTCGGAGATTCTGTCTTCGCCATCTTCTTCTCCTCCTCCTCCTGATTCTTTCAAATCCCTAACCATTCGCCAATAGAATTACAGAATCAATAAGACGCCTGAAAGAGAGGCTGCTGTCTCGATTCTCAGGCGGCACGGAGCTTTTTCTTTCATACGCCGTCCAGCGATTGGTAATCGCTTCCTTCTTCTGCTCGCAGTCCGGCGATCAGTGTGGTTGCGCGCCGGTGGTGGTGGCGTACTGGCGTAAGATTGTGTCCGGACGTGTAGAGGGTTATTTACTTATTTACCGGTTTTACCGCGTTGGGCCATGACGCTGGGCTTGCTGAGGTAATTCCCAGTCTGGTCCTGCATTAAATGGGCCGCAAACTGATGATTTGTTTGTCTGTTGATTTTGCCAATAGATCTCTCAAGTCATGGGAGAGGAAATAAAGATTCAGATACATATATTAATTACAGATTTTTACATGTTCTACGAATGTAAAAGGGCATTGCTATTCGTCGCCCTAAAATTCCTTATTCGTCGCCCTAATTAAGCTAAAGTTACTCTAATACCCTTAATTCATTAATTTTTCTTTCAAACAATTAAAACCAAAACAAACTCATATACTTACAACAAATAACGAATATCAAATAATTCTACATCACATTGGTATATTTGTAATAATTAATTAATAATTCCAATGGCAATTTTTTTTAAAAACAATTGGACTTGTCGGCGGGCGGGTTGAAAAGTCGCCGGCGAGATACGGGACAAGTACGTCCGTCGCGGCAACAAAATAAAAAATAAAAAAAATCATCCTTGTGGCATTGGTCGTCATCTTCTTTCTGGCAGCGGCACCGGTCGATTAGCAACGGTGGTAGGAGACAAGTAGTATCCTCGTCCGCTCCGTATTCTTCTTCCTCCCTTGTCCGCTTCGCTGCCTTCTGTTCGCTTCGTCTCCCTTCTTCTTCCTCCCTGTGATCGATGACAACGACGAGATTGGGGTGAGCGCCGGATTTGGGTGGTGGAGGGAATTTGGTCGGCGGGAAAGACTAGGGTCTGGGGTTGGAGGTGATTTGGGTGGGCGGTCGATGAGGGTGGGGGAGGGAGTGGTTGCTGGCGGCGGACTTGGGTGGGGAAGGGGTAGGGGATTGTTTGGGTGGATAGAAATTGGGCTGAGGGTAAATATATTAATTTGGTGGGTTTTAGGGCGACTAAATTTGAATTTTAGGGCGACAAATAGCAATTCACATGTAAAAAGGGTTAAAGACACATTTGGTCACTGAGATTACAAAATCGGGACATGTTTAGTCACTAGAAAAAGTTAATATCAAATTTGGTCACTACAATTACTAAAACTGGACGCATTTAGTCACTCGTCGTTAGTCTCCGTCCAACTCCGTTAATGAAGTCCGTTAAGTGCTGATGTGGCAAACAGAATTGCCTAATCAGCCGGATATAAACCAACAAAAATAAAACCCGACCCGCCACGTCATTATAACCCGCCACGTCATTAAAACCAACCCAACCCAACCCAACCTAACCCATGACCCAACCCCACCCAACCCTTCTTCCTCCTTCCTCCCACCTCGGCACCTCCCACCTCCGCCACTGCTCTCCTCCTTCCTCCCACCTCCTCCGGCAAACCTGTTCGACCAAACCCAGCAGACCAATCCTTCACCAACGAGGCCATGGGTTGGGTTGAATCGCTAGAAGAGCGGGCGCGTACAGGGAGCGGGAGGAGGAAGAGGAGGACGGTGGTAAGGTGGAGCCGTCGATACACGGGAAGAAGAAGCGCCGGCGAGGGAGGCCGTGAAAATCCTGAAGGAGGTCGGAATTGCACATCGCTACCTCGCCACCAGATCGGCTTTAGATTTCATCGTCGATTGTCTCCTCTCAATGGGTTTTGTTTCCCTCTTTGGCTCTTTCTCATAATCGACTCCGTCGTCAACCGCTAGAAAGATTCGCAATTCGAATACGAGTTTAGCCAACTCGATTTGAGGGTTCAATTGAAGTCGTAGACCAATATGGGTTTCACCACAGACTCAACAGAAGAATCTAATCTTGTTGGGGAGAGCGACGGTGAGGGTGATGCCGGAGACGGCGAGGACGGTCAGGATGTCGGAGTTGGTGAGAGCTTGACCATGGTGATCCCTTGGGAATTTGAGGAGCTTGACGACTTTGGTAGGGACGGAAGTTTGTTTGCGATGTGGGGTTTGAATTGGATAATTTGCTTGGCATTAAGGTTGGAGAGGGATTGGCGACTGGTGAAACTGTGAAAGTTTGGGATCCGGGGGAGAAGGGTTGGGTGGGGTGGGGTCATGGGTTGGGTTGGGTTGGGTTTAATGATGTGGCGGATTATAATGATGTGGCGGGTCGGGTTTTATTTTTGTTGGGTTATATCACGCTGATTAGGCAATTCTGTTTGCCACATCAGCACTTAACGGACTTCATTAACTGAGTTGGACGGAGACTAACGGCGAGTGACTAAATGCGTCCAGTTTTAATAATTGTAGTGACCAAATTTGATATTAACTTTTTCTAGTGACTAAACATGTCCCGATTTTATAATCTCAGTGACCAAATGTGTCTTTAACCCAATGTAAAAATCGAACTTACGAGGGTCTTGGTGTGACAGCGATCTTCCGAGCTACTGAATGAGTCACCTTATTATTGTATCGTCTGACACAAACTTCAAAGTAATAGCTAATGATTTGTTTGTCACTATGTGTCCCCTTTTCCGAATCCGATCCACTCAGCTTATGGGCCAAAGTCGTGCCGGAGAGAATCTAAGGGTATTTCACGACGCAATGTCTAATTTGACAAACAACACATTATTGACTTAATGCAAGACATTCAAACTTCCCGCCTTTCCGTCTTTTATTCCAATCACCATGATTCAAGTCCTAGCATCTAGCGTCCGAACTTCGAGCAATGTTCGAAGACTGTAAGACCATCTCCATCCCTGCAATAGGTTAGCCATTTCATAAATGGACCCCACATCCACATCACCAACTTTAGCAACTATTCAATTCAACAATTTCAAACCACCTACATCCCTGCAATGGGTTAGCAATTGCAATTGATGGGACCTACTACATATTCTTTTCCTTAACAATACATTTTATGTGTACAAAGTGGATAGAAAAAAAAGAAAGAAAAAAAAAAGAAAGAATTTGAGTGCATGAATGTGTGGGTCCCAATTGCTTATGTGGCATTGCAAAGGGAATTGCTTATTTAGCAATCTTGCTAAATAAGAAAGAAGTGCTACATCCTTGCAATTGCTTAAAGCTATTGCCACATAGGATTCCACCCAATAAGCAATAGCAATAAGCAATTGGATGGAGATGGTCTAAGGTGGATTCATCTTCTTGATAACTCAAATCATCCGAACTGGTTTTACAATAAGTTTAGACGATCATGTGAACAATTTCGAAATGAAATGGGGAGATCCAGTATTCATCATGTTCTCCTCTCACTACTAATTCTTTCAAAGCCCTAATCTTTCTCCTCCCGAAACTATTCATGCTATTCTAATAAGACATAGTTTTGACCAGGATTTGGTTAACCATTAAATCTAACGTTTAGCTAAATCTTTGAGGTCACTAATAACCTCAAGTTCCTATATCTATGATAAAAGCTCTAGACTTAATTACTTAACATGTTCCCGATAACAGCTTGCAAACCATGACAGAAGCTTGCAGAGAACTTTGCAGCATTTAATCAAAGCTTTCGAACCTTGTTTAAACTAAACTAACACCATACCAACATAAACTTAACTTTCTCTCGCTTCGCAAGGGTAGGAATCACATCTCTGGAGATCTCCATCATCTCGCCAGTAGTATCGTTCTCTATCTTCCTATCTTTCAAATGACGGCTCCAGGAAGCAGCAGAATTCACAGCATCAGTAGATTTTATCTTCAAATACTCTTGACACATGCACTGTTTCGAATACAAGTGATTAAACATGTTTAGCATAATCATTACAGGGAAAGAATAAGGAGGAACATTCACGTACGCAATAACAAACAGTTGTGCACATACCTCTGCAATCAGATTGATGTTCAAGTTAACTATTGACACGAATTTAGGACGACAGACCCAGAACAAGTGATTTAAGAAACCCCCCGCCTCCTCCATGTCACAAATACCCCACCAATAGGGCTCATATTGCACATGATCAATCTTCGGAGGTCGAAAAGCACACTCGGCGTGGGTTAACTCCAGTGAAACCTTTCATTATTTTGGAATCAAAGAGAAGACAATGCAAAACTCAGTACATGTATACGAAGAGAGAAGAGTTGATTTGCACTTGACGATGGATTCATTGCAGTGAAGCGAGTACCATACCTGTTGTGGTGATGGCGGAAACTTGAAGCCGGAAACCAATCTCAGGCGGTGGAATTGAGTGAACGTGGTGGAGAGGGACTGCCTCAACCATTGTGGGTTGAGTTCCCTATATGACAGCACACCAGCTCTACACCGGCAATCGGATGCCAAATTGATAACATTGACCTTCGTAAATGGGTCGCCAGAATGAACAGTCCAAGAGAGAATTGCCAAGTTAGGAGCATCAATCTCAAGCTCCTCCAACCCTGCACACAAATTCAAGCTCCGGAGATGTGGAGACGAAATCCTTACACTCCGCATTTTCTTGAAGCAATGTCTGCTTCTACGGAAGAGCTCTGGCGTTCCGTCACTATAAATGTCATACAAACACAAATGCAGGATGAGAGGAGAAGAGACCACTTCCAGCTTATCAACCCCAAAGATTCGATCCAAATACAATGTTAGGAGGCGAGGAGCATTAGACAGGAAACTCTGGAGAGTTTGTTCGCTGAGACTGACATTGACCAAATGGAGGGAAGCGAGGCTGCTCAGAGAAGCAGCAGGAGCAGAGGTGAGATGGCAACCACTGAGGGTGACATATTTCGTGCCACTCCAATTCGGAACCGGCATACTATAGCAGCCATCCCATTTGACGTCGCGGATTGAAAGCTCAAAGTTAACTGGAGATGCGACACTGGCATTATCGGTGATAAACAAGAGCAACCGGTCCAGATCCTACTGAAACCCTGAACTGCCTCTACACCTGCACAACAACTAGTAATGCTGTGGTCAGAATCCGATGGCTGCGGCGGCAGCAGCAGCTTCCTACAGCTGGAGTCGACGAAGCTGCGGAATCGACTCTCGTTCGATTTTGAGAGCGGGAACCCAAAGAAAGGGTAACCTAGCCACAGTTGGTGCCATCTTCTCGACAGCAAGCTGGTTCTGGCAGCTGCATCTGGAGATTCCAGGCGATTAAGGATGGTGTGAATGATTTCTTCGGGAAATAGGGAGATTCTGTCTTCGCCATCTCCTCCGCCTAATTCTGTCGAATCCCTAACCATCCTCCGCCTAATTGGATGAGAATTGCTCGTCGGCGGCGGAGTAAGGGCCGGCAGGGGCATAATTTGTTGATCACCTTTTCTGAATGCGACGGCATAAAAAATAAAACGACCTGCCAGCCTATGGGCCAAATTTGGGCCTTGCCTCATTAGTGGACAAAGCGGTAGCCATGAGCCCATAGCAGCATGGCTTCGGCCCAGACAGACGGAAGACGGAAGACACTGATACTTTATTTACGGGTTAAAGAGACATTTGGTCACTGAGATTACAAAATCGGGACATGTTTAGTCACTAGAAAAATTTAATATCAAATTTGGTCACTACAATTGCTAAAACTGGACGCATTTAGTCACTCGCCGTTAGTCTCCGTCCAACTCCGTTAATGAAGTCCGTTAAGTGCTGATGTGGCAAACAGAATTGCCTAATCAGCCGGATATTAACCCAACAAAAATAAAACCCGACCCGCCACGTCATTATAACCCGCCACCTCATTAAAACCAACCCAACCCAACCCATCACCCAACCCTACCCAACCCTTCTTCCTCCTTCCTCCCCAACCCAATTTAGGGTTTTCCCCATTAATCTGCCGGCCGCCCTTCCTTCATCTTCTTGAGGAATGTGGCGGTGCCGGCTCGGAGCTCGGTGGTGAAGCAAGTGTTCCGCTCATCGAGTTTGAATTGCTTCCCGACTCTGCTTCCGGCCACGTAGTTGTTCAGTCGAGTTAAAATGCCGACTCTGCTGCAATGGCGGAAACCCCCAGATCGCAGCAGACGGCCTTGTCGCAGGTGGCCGACGCGTTCTAGGAGCTGGCTTGGGGGTTAGGGTTTGGGATTTGGTTGTGGTGGGTGATTTGGAGGTGGTTTTGTTTTTGGGGGAAGTTGATTGCTTGATTGATGGATCTGAAACTAGGGTTTTGATTTTGGTGGGTGTGGGAGTGGAAGTGGAATTGAGCTGCTGCTTCTTGTCTTTCTTCTTGAGGAGCTGAGCAGTATCAGCTGTGGAATTGGTGGGCTTCTTCTTCGTGGTGAGTAGAGAATCGCTACTGCTGCTGGCCTTGGACTTGGTGGGTGATGTTGATTTAGTAGAGTTGGAGGATTTGGTGGTAATAAGTTTGGTCTGGTTCTTCTTACCACTCGAAGAAGAAGAAGAAGACAGAGTATCTCCGATAGCAGCAGAGTTGGTAGTAGTCTTCTTGGTGAGTTTCATGGTCTGATTCTTGTTAGCAGAGGGAATGGTAGATTTAGAAAGCTTGGTGCTTGGTGTTGCTTGTGATGATGATAGGCTGCTGTTGCTGCTCTTTTTCTTGGGCAGTTGTGGTTGCTCATCGTCGTCATCGCTGTCTAAGGAAGAGGCAGAGAGGAAGAGGGGGGAGGTGAACAAGAAGAAGAAGAAGGAGGGCAAGAGTAGCTTCCTGAATCTTCACCACCGAGCTCCGAGCCGGCACCGCCACATTCCTCAAGAAGATGAAGGAAGGGCGGCCGGCAGATTAATGGGGAAAACCCTAAATTGGGTTGGGGAGGAAGGAGGAAGAAGGGTTGGGTAGGGTTGGGTGATGGGTTGGGTTGGGTTGGTTTTAATGAGGTGGCGGGTTATAATGACGTGGCGGGTCGGGTTTTATTTTTGTTGGGTTAATATCCGGCTGATTAGGCAATTCTGTTTGCCACATCAGCACTTAACGGACTTCATTAACGGAGTTGGACGGAGACTAACGGCGAGTGACTAAATGCGTCCAGTTTTAGTAATTGTAGTGACCAAATTTGATATTAAATTTTTCTAGTGACTAAACATGTCACGATTTTGTAATCTCAGTGACCAAATGTGTCTTTAACCCCTTTATTTACAGATAAGTAAATTACAGATAAGCAAATCAAGACTCGAAATTTTTGACTGAATACAATGAAAGGTGAAGGCAAGTTCTATATGACTCATTACATTTCATCCCCCTTGCTGCTCCTGTGAAACTAGTGAGTCGGGCCGGCTATTTGGTATGAGTTTTTTGGTTTTACCCCAAACCGGACCGTACAAATTGGATCGAGACCGGACCGGGACTAGATAGTAAACAATCCAATCCAATCTCTGGGTTTGGATTTGAGGTAAAAAAACCGTTCAGGACCGGATCGAAAACTGGATAAAGACCGGATAAGAGAGTTCAACACCCAAAACTTAAGGGTAATTTGCATAAACGGTCACAAACCTTTGTACTTAGTACACAACTTAACCAACTGAACTCCTCACCCTTTCAGGCCTTAGACCACTCAAATCCCCACAAGCTCAATATAAAATCAAGACCGAATTGGGACCGGAGTGGGTCAAGACCGGACCGGATTAAGACCGGACTGTATCCAATCCAAGCTTAGGTCCTTATATTTTCAAAAAGACCGCACTGGACCGGATCAATTCGGGCCAATTTAACCGGACCGGAACGTATAGCCACCCCTACTAGTGAGTCATAACTATCTATCTTTATTGTAGATGTTTAATTAAGATAAAGAGAAAGAATCAACCGATATAAACTATACTGGGATAAGTTTTCAAAGTTAAGCTAACACCACGTAAACATAAAACGAACAGCCTTTCGATTGGCAAGGGATGAAATCGCGTCTTCGGAAATCTCCATCATACCACCGGTAATTTCATCATCGATCTTCATATCTTTCAAATGATGCCTCCACGATGCGACAATAGTCACGTAGCGATCAAGAGATCCAGTCATCATATACTCATGGCACATATACTGTATCAAACACAAATAATAATGAAAAGACCGTTTAGTAATTAATACAAACAGTCATTGTCATGGGCAATATTCACGCATACATGTGTAATAACAAAAGAATGGTGCATATACCTGAGCAATCCGTCGATGGGCACCGTGGCAAACATTGAACGACATGAATTCAGGATGACAAATTGAAAAGAAAAGTTCTAAAAACCGCGCAGCTACGTCATCGCAACGAACGTAGTACCAAGCCGTCGCAAATTCCATCTGATCAATTGCTCGAGGTGCGGAATCATATTCAGCCTGGGTTAAATCAAGCCACACCTTTTCATTTGCTAAGTAGATAAAAAAGTCGAAAACCAAGTTCAGACGTTGCAATTGACTGAATGCGGAGGAGAGGGACGCCCTCAACCACCGTGGCGAAAAGGTGATGGACGGCGAACACACGCGAATTTCGGACCGGCAAGTAGATGCCAAATTGACGAGATTAACCTTGGTGACGGGGTCGTCAGGACAAACGGTCCAGGAGAGACTAACGAGATCAGGAGCGTCAATCTCAAGCTCCTCCAACCCCGACCAAATCCACAACTTCTCGAGCTTTGGAGACGAAATCCTCAGCCTGCGCATTCTCTCGGAGTGATTATGGCTTCTGATGCAACACAATCGCAATCGCAGCGATTGGAGCAGAGGAGAAGAGACCACCTCCAGCCTATCAATCCCATAAACTACATCCAGACTCAACGACACGAGGCGGGGAGCATTGTCCAGGAATCTGTGGAGGAGTTGTTCACCGAGATTGACATATTCCAGAGTGAGGCGCTCGAGGCTGCCCAGGTAAGCCAAACCATTAATGTGATTATCGTGATCGGCGGCCAGAGCAGCGAGATCGCAACCACTGAGGGTGATGGATTTTGTGCGGCTCCAATTCGGAAACCGCTGCAAACTGTAGTAGAAGGGATAATAAGGCTTGACATGAAGCACAAACTTAACTGGAGATAATAATCCATCGGCACGATTCGCGATTAACGAGAGCAACCGGTCGAGATCCTCCTTCCGAAAACCATCCTCCTCGAGAAGTGAGATACTGAAATCCTGAATTGTTGCACAGCAACTGTGATCCGAGTCCGAAGACGACCACGGCGGCAGCGGCAGCTGCAGCTTCCTGGAGCTGGAGGCGACGAAGCTGCGGAAATTGGATTTTGATTTTGAGGGCGGGAACACGAAGAAAGGGTAGCGTCGCCACAGTTGGAGCCATCTTCTCGACAGCACGCTGGTTCCGGCGGCTTCAGCTGGAGATTCCAGGCGATTGAGGATGGAGTGAATGATTTCTTCAGGAAGCTGGGAGATTCTGTCTTCCCCGTCTTCTCCGCCTCTGCTTCCTGATCCTCTCACTCTCACAGACCTAACCATTAATTAATTCTCCTGCTGAAACAACTGCAACTTGGAGGAACAATGTTTGTCGTCGATCGGCTTTTAAATTAACTTGCTGATGCCTCCGATCCTTAGCCGGCACGGATGACGGAACCCTAGACCCCTACCAACCCTTTTCCTAACCCGAATAGACTTCTCTCCCAGAACAATAAGAAATAACAATTAATTAACTGGATTACTAAAAAATAAGAATAATATAGGGCTTCAGCTTGCTAGAACTGGAGGCGACGAAGCCACGGAACTTCAATTGTGAATTTGGGGCGTGAAACTGGAAGAAAGGGTAGTTTCGCCATAGTTGGAGCCATCTTCTCGACAGCACGCTCGTTCGGGCAGCTTCCTCTGTAGATTCTAGGAGATTGAGGATGATGTGAATGATTTCTTCGGAAAGTTGGGAGATTCTTTCTTAGCCATCTTCTCCGCCTAATTCTTTCGAAGCCCTAACCATTCTCCTGCCGACACAACTGGAGCTTGGAGGAAGAATGCTCGTCGGGCGCCGCCTCACAATCTGTTCATCTCCTTATCCGGATGTGATGGCATAAAAAAACAAAAATAACCTGCCCAGCCTATGGGCCAAATTTGGGCCTGGCCGCATTAGTCATAGCATTAGCCATAAGCCCATAACAGCATGCCTTGGGTCCAGATAGAGCCGTACTTAATCATTGTGAAGACTCGGATGCTTAATTTACAAATGAGTAAATCAAGACTCAATTTTTGTCTGAATAAAATACAAGGCAAAGGCAAGTTCTATAATGACTCTTTGTAATTGGCCTTTAAAGGTCCTTTGTCATGCTGTATTTGGTGTATTCTCTTTCGGGATGTCGTTGACAAAAAAAAGTAATGATTATTTATTAGTCAAACTTTTTTTAGATTTTTTTATTAACCAAATTTATTGAAATACTAAGAATTAGCCAAATGAAACTAGTGAGTAATAACCATCTATCTTCATTGTAGATGTTTAATTAAGATAAGAAAACCAACCGCCTAATTAATGATTTAAATTATAACAGAAAATTTTTCTAACACCACGTGAACATACAACGAACACTCTGTCGATTGGCAAGGGATGAAATCACGTCTTTAGAAATCTCGATCGTATCACCGGTAATTTCATCTTTGATCTTCATATCTTTCAAATGATGCTTCCAAGATGCGGAAATAGTCACGCCATAAAAAGATCCAGTCATCATATACTCATGGCATATGTACTGTATCAAATGAAAATAATGAAGACCGTTCAGTAATTATATATATAGTGTCATTACAAGAAAAAAATCATGGACAACATTCACATACAATGTAATAATACAAAACAGTGGTTCACATACCTGAACGATCACCCGATGAGCGCAGTGACAAACATTGATCGACATGAATTCAGGATGACAAATTGAAAAGAAAAGCTCCAAAAACCGCGCAACTACATCATTGTTAGGAATGTACGACCACATTGCCTCAAATTTCACTTGATCAATCGCTCGTGGTGCGGAACCGTATTCAGCTTGGCTTAAATCAAACCACTCCTAGAGAAGAAATAGGAAAACTTATTATTGTATGGTTTATTGGATAAAGGGAGAGACAGATAGGTAGTTTTTGGGATTGAAGATTGGAGTTAATAAATACGTTACCTGTTCTCGTCGTGCTAAGTAAATAGGGAAGCCGAGAACCAAGTCCAGACGGTGGAATTGACTGAATGCGGAGGAGAAGGACGCCGTCAACCACCGTGGCGAAAAGGTGATGGCCGGCGAACACACGCGAATTTCGGACCGGCAAGTAGATGCCAAATTGACGAGATTAACCTTGGTGACGGGGTCATCAGGCAAAACAGTCCAGGAGAGACTGACGAGATCAGGAGCGTCAATCTCAAGCTCCTCCAACCCCGACGACATCAACAACGTCTCGAGCTCTGGAGACGAAATCCTCAGCGAGCGCATTCTCTGGCAGCGGTTTTTGCTTCTGTAGATGCAACTCAATCGCAGCGATCGGAGCCGAGGAGAAGAGACAACCTCCAGCCTGTCAATCCCATAAACTCCCCACAATTCCAACTCCACGAGGCGAGGAGCGTTGTCCAGAAAACAATGGAGAAGTCGTTCGCTGAGATCGACAACTTCCAGGCGGAGGCTCTCAAGGTTGGGCAGAGAAGCCAAACCATTATTACTGCGATTATTACTGAGATCGCAGCCAGCGAGGGTGATGGATTTTGTGCGGCTCCAATTCGGAACCCGCAGCAAACTATAGGAGGGACGAGTTCTCCTTGGGTCGACACGGAGCACGAACTTAACTGGAGATAATAATGATAATAATAATCGATCGGCGTGATCTGCGATTAACGAGAGCAATCGGTCGAGATCCTCCTTCTCAAATCCATCATCCTGAACCGAGATTCTGAAATCCTGAATTGCTGCACACCAACTGTGATCATTCGAGGACGACGAAAACAGCAGCTTCCTGGAACTGGAGGCGACGAAGCTGCGGAACTTGGTGTTTGATTTTGAGAGCGGGGACTCGAAGAAAGGGTAGCGTCGCCACAGTTGGAGCCATCTTCTCGACAGCACGCTGGTTCCGGCAGCTTTCTCGGGAGATTCCAGGCGATTGAGGATGGCGTGAATGATTTCCTCAGGAAGTTGGGAGATTCTGTCTTCGCCGTCTTCTCCTCCTCTGCTTCCTGATCCTCTCACAGCCCAAACCATAAATTAATTCTCCTGCTGAAACAACTGGAACTTGGAGGAACAATGTTTGTCGTCGATCGGCTTTTAACTTAACTTGCTGATGCCTCCGATCCTTAGCCGGCACGGATGACGGAACCCTAGACCCCTACAAACCCTTTTTCTAACCCGAATAGACTTCTTTTTTCCCCGAACAATACGAAATAACAATTAATTAACTGGATTACTAAAAAATGAGAAGCGATTCTGGAAATTTCTTTGGCAGCTACCATTACCGTCGAAGCTTCGGATGTTTTGTTGGAGGATCGCCAGGGGATTCTTGTCGGTAAGTGAAGTGCTCCAGTTCAAGAGGTTAGTGGACGATAGTACACGCCCCGTCTGTTCCACTGGCAGTGAAAGCATTCTGCACTCTTTCCTTCATTGCCGGGTTGCCGTAGAGTTGTGGGAGCGTGCTGGGTTGAGCCTTTTGCGAGCAAGGTTATCATCTCTTTCCCACTCTGAGTGTTGGCGGGTCTTGTTCTTTGATTGTCGGCTTAACAAAAATGATGTTGCTAATGTTATATTTTTATGTTGGCGAGTTTGGAAATCGAGGTGTTGGGCGGTTCATAAACGGATTCAATACTTGGGCCCAGTATTACTTCAGCAATTTCGAGCTCAGGTGGAGGAATGGGGTGCTGTCACAGAGCCTCTTGACTTGCATCAGGGACCCCGCAATCGCGCTCACCAGGGACGGCAAGCTGCGTCGGGCGGACAATCCGGCCGCGACGGGGAGTGCCCTCCGGGCGGAGTACTCGTACGGGTGGATGGAGCATGGAGACAAGGAGCAGGAGGTGGTATTGGCTTTGCGGGCTTTTCGATGAATGGTGACTTGCTCTTCGCGTTTGGCAAACACTATCCAGGTATCAATGATCCTTTCCTTATGGAATTATTAGCACTTCGTGATGCAATAAATTGGTGTCTGATGCATGGTTTTCCGTTTGCGAATTTTTGCGGGGATTGCCAAACTTTGGTGCGAGCTGTACGGGAGCGGGATGTGGCGCATGGTCGGGGCGGTGCGATTTTGGAGGAGATACGCGTGGCGGTGTCTTCGTTCTCCGTGTTTTCTTGTACTTTTACACCTCGCAGGTTTAACAGGGCTGCCCATCTAGTGGCACAACATGCCCTTTTATCGGCAGTTCGACTATTTGTGGACTGGCACGTTTGGTTGTGTGATGTTCTCTAACTATTTATTTTAAGCTATCTATGCAAAAAAATAAAAAATAGAATGTTTCCCTCTATATAATAAAAATATATTGATGGCCAGCTTGTTGTTGCAAGGGATGAAATTATATCTTTTGGATATTATATCTCCACATCTCTCGACAGTAATATCATTTTATACTTCATAGAACGATACCTCAAAAATTCAGTAGCTTTCACAGCTATTAGAATAGTATACTGTGCGGTTTATATCAATACGATGCGGTGCGGTTCGTATCGCACCAATGCCCGCCCCTAAGAGAAATGAAAACCCTAGTTGAAAACCAAGTTCTTGATGCGGAATTTGGAGAATGTAGTAGAGAGGGACAACCTAAACGATTGTGGTGAGAACTGAGAACCCAGAAACTACATGAACTATAGACCGACATTGAGATTTCGAATTGATAATATTGACCTAAGCAAGGTCCGGAGCATCAATTTCAAACTCCTCCAACGACAACCCCCATCGTCAGCTTTCAAGAGTTCTGTAACCTAAGCTAACACCACGTGAACATAAAACGAACAGTCTTTCGATTGGCGAGGGAAGAAATCGTGTCTTCGGAAATCTCCATCACATCACCGGTAATTTCATCCTTTATCTTCATATCTGTCACATGATGCCTCCAAGATGTGGCAATAGTCACGTCGTCAGGAGATCCGGTCATCAAATATTCATCGCACATGTACTGCCTCAAATGTAAATAATGAAAGACCGTTTAGTACATCTATAGTCATTACAAGGAAAGAACTATGGGCAAATTCACATCTAAGAGTAATAACAAACAGTGGTGCACATACCTGAACGACTCGCTGATGGCCGTCGTGGCAAACATTGATCGACATGAATTCAGGATGACAAATTGAAAAGAAAAGCTCCAAAAACCGCGCAGCTCCATCATTGTTAAGAACGTACGACCAGGTTGCCACAAATCTCACTTGATCAATCGCTCGAGGTGCGGAATCATATTCAGCTTGGCTTAAATCAAACCACACCTTTTCCAGTGCTAAGTCAATAGAAAAGCCGAAAACCAAGTTCAGACGTTGCAATTGACTGAATGCGGCGGAGAGGGACGCCCTCAACCACTGTGGTGAACAGCTGATGGCCCGCGAAGACACGCGAATTTCGGACCGGCAAGTAGATGCCAAATTGACGAGATTAACCTTGGTGACGGGGTCATCAGGAAAAACAGTCCAGGAGAGACTAACGAGATCAGGAGCGTCAATCTCAAGATCCTCCAACCCCGACCACATCAACAGCCTCTTGAGCTTTGGAGACGAAATCCTCAGCCTGCGCATTCTCTCGGAGCGATTTTTGCTTCTACTGATGCAACACAACTGCAACGATTGGAGCAGAGGAGAAGAGACCACCTCCAGCCTATCAATCCCATAAACTATCCGCAGACTCAACGAGACGAGGCGGGGAGCATTGTCCAGGAATCTGCGGAGAAGCTGCTCACTGAGATTGACATTCACCAGGCTGAGGCGCTCGAGGCTGCCCAGAGAATCCAAACCATTACTGTGATTATCGTGATCGCCGAAAGCAGAGGTGAGATCGCAACCACCGAGGAAGAGGTATTTTGTGCGGCTCCAATTGGGAACCCGCCGCAAACTGTAGCAGATGGGATAAGATCTCAATTGCTTCACATGAAGCAGAAAGTTAACTGGAGATAATAATTCATTAGCGTGATCTGAGATTAGCGAGAGCAAACGGTCGAGATCCTCCTCCGGAAAATCATCATCATACTCGCCAAGTGAGATTCTGAAATCCTGAATTGTTGTCGCACAACAGCTGTGGCCCGAGTCCGAAGACGACCAAGGCAGCAATTTCCTAGAACTGGAGGCAACGAAGCTGTGGAAATTGTTTTTTGATTTGGAGAGATTGAACTGGAAGAAAGGGTAACGTCGCCACAGTTGGAGCCATCTTCTCGACAGCACGCTGGTCTTAGCAGCTGCCTCTGGAGATTTCAGGCGATTGAGGATGGAGTGAATGATTTCTTCAGGAAGTTGGGAGATTCTGTCTTCGCCGTCTTCTCCTCCTCTGCTTCCTGATCATCTGACAGCTTTAACCATTCTCTTGCTGAAACAAGTGGAACTTGAAGGAAAGGAAAGAATGTTTTCGTCGATCGGCTTAACTTAACTTATAAAAAAGAGCCCTAGACCCTACAAATACTTTTCCTAACCCGAATAGTCTTATTCTTTCCCAAAACAATTAAGTATTAATAATTGGATTACTAAAAAAATAAGAATAATATACCTAACGATTTTGATAAAGCGTTTCATTCTCGAGGTTAGTTAGTAAATACTCCGTTTAATATATGTATATGTATCCGTACGTACTTTATTCATTTTAAACTTTCGCATTCATATTATTGTCAAATAGAAAGCATGCGTTTAGCACCATAAACACAACAATGAAAGAAAATGTGAGCATTTTTATTATCATATATATCACACTTAAATCAATTGATGGAGGTAGGAAAGCCCATTTAGGTTGGCTTAATATGGCACCTTTCAACGAACAATTTTATTGAACAGAAGAAATGAAAAATCAAGTTGAAAACCAAGTTCTTGTTGCGGAATTTGGAGAATGTAGTAGAGAGGGACAACCTAAACGATTGAGGTGAGAATTGAGAACCCAGAAACTATATGAACTATAGAGCGACAATGATATTTCGAATTGACAATGTTGACCTAAGCAAAGTTGGAGCATCAATTTCAAACTCCTCCAACGACAACCCCCATCGCTAGCTTTCTCAGAGTTTTGTAACCTAAGCTAACACCACGTGAGCATAAAACGAACAGTCTTTCGATTGACGAGGGAAGAAATCAGGTCTTCGGAAATCTCCATCATATCGCCAGTAATTTCATCCTCTATCTTCATATCTTTCAAATGACGCCTCCAAGATGCGACAACAGTCACGCCATCAGGAGATCCCGTCATCATATATTCATCACACATGTACTGTATCAAATGCAAATAATGAAGACCGCTTAGTAAAATATATACAGTCATTACTAGTAAAGAATGATCATGAGCAATATTCACATCGATATGTAATAACAAACAGTGGTGCACATACCCGAACGAATTGCTGGTAAGGGTCCTCCTCTTGGTAAACATTGATCGACATGAATTTAGGATGACAAATTGAAAACAAAATCTCTGGAAACCGTGCAGCTAGATCTTTGTTAGGAAGGTACATCGCAGTTGCCTCAAATCTCACTTCATCAATCGCTCGAGGCGCTGAACCATATTTAGCTTGGCTTAAATCAAACCAAACCTTCAAAAAAAAATTTTTACCAAAGAGAAGAAACGTGAGAACTTATTATTGTATGTTATATGCATAAAGAAAGAGAGACGGATAGGTAGTTGGTTTTGATTGATATGGAGTTAATAGTACGTTACCTGTCGTCGTGCAAAGTAAATACAATAGCTGAAAACCAAGTTCAGACATTGTAATTGATTGAATGCGGTACTGGAAAGGGACATCCTCAACCACCGTGGTGAAAATTCCTTGTCCAGCGAAAACACACGAATTGTGGATCGACAAGTAGATGACAGATTGAGAAGATTAACCTTCGTGAAGGGTTCACTGGGAAAAACAGTCCAGGAGAAACTAACGAGATCAGGAGCATCAATCTCAAGCTCCTCCAACCCCGACGTCATCCACAACTTCTCGAGCTTTGGAGACGAAATCCTCAGCGAGCGCATTTTCTCGCAGTCATTTTGCCTTCTATAGATGCCACACAATCGCAATGATTGGAGCCGAGGAGAAGAGACCACCTCCAGTCTATCAATCCCATAAACTGACCACAATTCCAACTCCACGAGGCGGGGAGCATTGTCCAGGAAACCCGCGTGGAGAAGTTGTTCACTGAGATTGACTTTAGACAGAGTGAGGCGCTCGAGGCTGCCCAGATAAGCCAAACCGTTACTGTGATTATCGTGATCGCCGAAAGCAGAGGCGAGATCGCAACCCCAGAGGGTGATGGATTTTGTGCAGCTCCAATTCGGAACCAACCGCAAACTGTAGCAGGGTAAAGATCTCGATGGCATGACATGAAGCGAGAACTTGACTGGAGATAACCCAGCGGCCGCATTACGATTTGCGATTAACAAGAGCAACCGATCGAGATCCTCCTTGTGGAAATCATCCTCGCGAAGTAAGATGCTGAAAACCTGAATTGTTGCACAACAACTGTGGTCCGACGAGGGCAACAGTTTCCTAGAACTGGAGGCAACGAAGGTTTGGAACTCGGTTTTTGATTTTGAGTGCTTGAACTCGAAGAAAGGGTAGCGTCGCCAGAGTTGGAGCCATCTTCTCGACAGCACGCTGGTTCCGGCAGCTTCCTCTGGAGATTTCAGGCGATTGAGGATGGCGTGAATGATCTCTTCAGGAAGTTGGGAGATTCTGTCTTCACCGTCTTCTCCTCCTCTGCTTCCTGATCCTCTCACTCCCACGGCCCTAACCATTAATTAATTCTCCTGCTGAAACAACTGCAACTTGGAGGAAGAATGTGATGCGTGATAGTGGAATCTCACGTATAGTGAAACTCGAACTCTTCTATGAAACTAATGAAACGCGATAAGGATAGTTAAATTACTCTAATTTACTTTACTCTTATTCATTGCTTAGCCAAAACCAAAGAACAACGTACATATTTCTAGGACTACTCTTACACCTTTTCCCTCTAAAACAAGGTAAACTAATCCTAACTCAACAAGACACAATAAACTAATACGAATATCCCACATAACCATAATAATCTAATAATTAACTAATAATAACTCTCTAATTATTAAGCACGTACTCGGCCAAGAGTCCCAATGATGCGTGCCTGCATCAGAATGTATGTCGTCGGCCTGCTTAAATTAACTCAAGCTGCTGCCTCCGATCCTTAGCCGACACGGAACTCTAAACCCTACAAACCCTTTTTCTAACCCGTATAGGCTTCTTCTTCTTAATAAGTAAAACTGTCTTTTTTTCACTCAAAGTTTTCAAAAGTTATATAAACTAGACTAGTAACAATGTCAATTGGATGGAAATCGGTACCGTACAGGTATTTTTTGTACGAAATTGATTATATTTATAATTAATAATTAAATATATAAATAATGGTTAACACCCCTTAGTGCCAAGCATTTTTACATAGTGGATTGAAATTCTTTTATCATGAGAAATGGATGTGAGAAAAATCTAATGAAACTTAATCAAAGTCGTCATTGATTGGATTTTATCAAGTCTTCATTGAGTTTATTCATTAATCATTATAGTTCCTATTGGCCATTTGGGGAAAGACGACTAGGCAAAAGGGTCTTAACTTTTAAAGTTCACCTAGAGTTAAGAAATAGATAATGAGAAAGGAGAAAATGGTGATATCTCAATTTTTTGTCGTTGGTAATTTTTAATTCGATGGATTGGAGGCTAAAAGACGACCAATGAAAAAGAAACATGCTCTAATTTAGAAATAAAACAATTTTAGATGCAACAGTATTGATAGAAGAGAATTCATCTTCTGCATATACTTCTTTTCCACATCTAAGAAACTACGTTTTCATACCATATCAACATAAACCTAATTTTTTGTTGCTTTGTAATGGAAGAAATCATATCTTCGAAGATCTCCATCATCTCACCGGTAGCGTCATTCTCTATCTTCATCTCTTTCAAATGACGCCTCCAAAACGTAGCCGCATTCGCGTTATCGGGAGAGGCCGACTTCAGATACTCCCGACACATGTACTATTCGAATGCAAGTAATTAAAAGGGTTTAGTATAATGGGGGAAAAATCACTGCAAGGTGAGAAGAGATGAGCACTAATGTACACAATGATACATAGGTGAGTATGTACCTCAGCAATCAGACACGTACACCGACAGTTAGTTATCACCACAAATTTCGGACGACAAGCCCAAAACAAACGGTCTGAAAGAGCTGCGGCCTCGTAAACAGTCCCTGTATGGTTCCTACATTCCACTCGATCAACCTTTCGAGGTGGGAAAGAGCATTCAATTTGGCTTATGTCCAACGGTACCTGTCAAAATGAATTCATTAATCAAAGCGAAGAAATGCAAAATATAGGCTGTACCGCTGGAGGCTAAACTGCTAGGTGCACCGTGCATGTGTTATGCAGCGATACGCAACGATTGAACCATAGTTTCCACATAAAAAATTTCTATCGCGCTGACTTTTCTGGTACAACCTGCAGTACGGATTTACAGTGTCGAAGAGAAAGAAAAAAAACTTGGGAGTATTGCGAATAGAATTCATTGCGGTGAATTTGAGTATCGATCTTACCGACAACGTAGTCAGAATTAACTCGAAAGACAAGGCCAGGTGGTGGAATTGAGCGAACGTGGTGGAGAGGGACAGCCTTAACTTTTGTGGCTTGAATTCACCAAAAAATTCCACATGAACTGTAGACTGGCAATCGGATGCCAAGTTGATAACATTGACCTTCGCTAAGGGTTCGCCGGGATAAACATTCCAGGAGAGACTAACCAGATTTGGAGCATCAATCTCGAGCTCCTCCAAGCCCGACCGAATCTGCAGGACCTTGAGGTCTGGAGTCGAAATCTTCAGCCTCCGTATTCTGTCTTGCCTTGGATGGCCCATCCACCCCGGACTGTAAACAATGTCGCCCAAATTCAGATCGTGTAACCTAGGAGAAGAGACCACTTCCAGCTTTTCAACCCCATGAATGTCGAACACAGTCAGCGACTCGAGGCGAGGAGCATTGGCCAGGAAAGTTTCGAGAAGTTGTTCGCTGATACTGACTTGAACGAGACACAGGTGCTCGAGGCTGCCCAGAGAGACAGAAGCAGCAGTTGTGGGGGCGATGAGTTCGCAACCAAAGAGACTGATGTGTTTTGTGCGGCTCCAATTCATAACTGGCAAACTACAGCGGCCCTGAAGCACGAACTTGGCCGGGGACAAGGCAGGCGATGTGGTGAACGGCAAGAGCAACCGGTCGAGGTCGTCGTTCTGATCATCAAGATGGACCGAGATATTGAAATCCTGAATCGTTGTGGCTACAGCAGCAAAACCACTAGTAGTGCTGTGATCCGAATCCGAATTCAGCAGCCCCAGCAGCCGCTTACAAGTGGAAGCAACGAAGCTGCGGAACTGACTCTGATTCTCCGTGGAGAGCTTGAAATCCACGAAAGGGTAAGAGTGCCATAGGCGGCGCCATCTTGTGGAAATCGAGCTGGTTCTGGCAGCTTCCTCGGGGGAATTCAGCTGATGAAGGATGGCGTGGATGATTGAGTCCGGAAGCTGGGAGATTCTGTCTTCCTCCCCATCTTCTCCTTCTCCGCTGCTTCTAAATTTCTCTGCTTCTTCTAAATCTGTCAAAGACCTAACCATCCTCTGCATACCAAAATTTAATCCAAGTCTTCAACCTAATTCGTTCAACGAGAACTGGAAATCGGCGAACGAATTTTCGACGGGCGTACGCTGAAAAGGAATAGATCGCTATTACGGCGTAAAACCACAAAGCTGAGGTTTGGATCAGCTTCTGCTCGCAGAAATCCTCAGTCTGTTGAGCGATTATGGCCGGCTGCGACGGCCGCGGCAAGGTAATAACGTAAGAACCGGGCGGTTGGATGTTGACCGCATATTACATGGGCCAGGTCATCTAAAACGGTTGGGCCGAGCTGGGCTTTTCTAGGTTGCAACACCTCTACCATTAGATTAGTTTGATTGCAGCCCGAAAAAGTGTCATTTAAACCAGCCAGGTCATTTAAACCAGGAATGATACTGCTCATCCTTATGCTGCCTTGTTTGTGCCTGGTATGTACCGGGCGGTTTTGTGAGGCTTTACTGGCTTCGCACGGTCTTGGGAGGATGAGAGGCGGTCCTCGAAATCCTGCAAGCAAAGGTCCACAGAGAGGTGCCCTGGAGCCTCCTCCGATGCCTAAGTTAGAGAGAGAAGTGGATACTGAGTAAATAAGAGAGAGAATGGAGTAGATAGAAGTTACCATCAATGTGATCCGAGATGGGTATTTATATCAGCGAGGACTGGGGTGAGAGCATTTAATTCTATGTCGGGCGGTCAAGGACGCCTGAGCTCTGACCCCCTGAGACTGTCAGGTTCGTACTTCTGCCAATCTCTACAACAATTAAGTAATCGAATATCCTAAATAAACGAAAACAATAAATGCAGAAAGTAAAACAGAGGTCCAGAAAATCGTAGCAAAATTAGAAATCAATAAAAAGTACTAAAGAGTTCGCATTCCACATCATGCTACTGGACGGGAGAAATTATCTCTTTAAAAGAACAAGTTACAACTTTACTGTTTCTTAGAGTCACGTCTTAACACTGTTGATCTTTGCCACATGTTTACTGCGTTCTCGTCTGTAATCATTGCTTACCTCTCTCTTTCCTCTCTGCTTTTAGCCTGGGTTGCTTCGCCAGCGACTTCTCTTCTCTCTGCAACTTATCGGTTTTCGGAACTCCTCACCTTTCCCCTGGAAATGACAGGTCTGGCGCTTCCTCATCTGTTCCTTTCCCCACAAAAGTCTTGCTTTGCTTTGCTACCTTTCATTTGTGCTTCTTACAGACTTTTCCTCTTCTAGCTTGCTTGCTCGCTTGCTTTCTTCTATTGCTCTTCCATGGTGACCCATAAATTGCTTCTTGACCTCAACGACTCCGATGGCCCTCAGACTCTTCTGAAGCTGCGCCTCCTAAATGCGTGGGGGTCTTATGGCCTCAAGAATCCTACATTAATCTTCAACTACTGCACTCTTTGGAATGATGAGGAGGTCAGCGCTGTTTTCCTTTTTTTTTTGCCACGTAATCTTGCGCCTCCCTTCTTTTTACAGCCCTCTGAGGTTCGCTTCTTTTCTGGCCAGGGTACTTTGATTCAGGGCACGGCTCCTTCGGAACTCACGCGCCATTTCTCTCCGCTTCTGCAGTTGGGTAGCGTTTACTTCGTGAGCAATTTTCGCGTCAAGCCACCGGCCCCTTCGTATCGTTCTTGCTCTCATAAGTTGACCATCATCCTCTCTGCCGCTACACAGTTCGAAGACGTGACCCGTTCGTCACCTTCATTCTGGCCGGATGCGTTCGAATTTACCCCTTTCAGCTCCCTTCATTCCCGCATACGTTCATCGGTTTATCTAACAGGTCTTGTACTGTGTTCTCTACGTCTCTTGCTGTCCGTTCTGCAGTGTACTGCTTACTATCCTTTCCTTTCTTCTCTTGCTTGTGCCTCTGTCAGATGTCGTTGGCGCTGTTGTTAGCATAACAGGCGTTTCTAGCACTGTAACTTCATTCGGTACCACTGTGCGGAGTGATTTGGTGCTTCAGAATGAAAAGTATGTTACAGATGCACACCACTGCTTTATCGACTGTAGTACATTTGTTACTTACTTTCGTTGCTTTTTTGGCCAGTCACATGTTTCTTGACATCAGTCTGTGGAGTGATATAGCTCGGAATCTCAATGGTCAGGAACTGGCTGTCCTTGGTCGTTCTGGGCCAGTTATGCTTGCTGTTTGCTCACTTCGAGTCACTGGCGCTACGAAAGGTCTGCATGTACCTTACCGCCGCACTATTCTCCCTTTCATTTCCCTTCCTCTTCTCCTTATTACCTTTACCCCTCTTGTAGGAGGTTACTCTCTTACCAGTACTCCAGGCACACGTTGTGTTCTCAATCCTGTTTCTGAAATGGCTCACCTGGTCCAATCTGTGTATGTCTTTTCTTATCCTCCTCATATTTGTTTTTCCCTTTGCATCATCAGCTGTATTTTTGGTCACTGCTAATTTGTTGCGTTCCTTGCTTTCGCTTTCGTTAGGTTCTTTGCCAGCACTAATACATGTCAGTATTACCCTCCGAGGTTTGCAACTCCTAATGAGGCAGCGGCCTTCGAAGCTGAATGTACGAAGACTGTGTCATAACTACTTGCCTTGTGTTTTCCACCTGTTGCCGATGTATGCTTTTTCCCATTTTGCTCTCCAGCTCACCTGCTTCTGTTCCTTTCACTTCATTTGTTTGTCCGTCTAATCATTTTTTCGTTCACTTTTTTTTAGTCTACGCGTTACCATTGCTCTGGTCGGATTGTTTCGGTTGATTCTTCTATGCAGTGGTACTACTTGGGTTGTGCGCTTTGTTCCAAAGCAGCCATAGATTATGATGGTGTTGACAAATGGTGTGATGACCACCGTCGTTTGGTGCCTCAACAAACACAGAACTTGTAATTCCTTTCTTCATTCTTGCCCCCATACCTTTTACCTTTTCTCGTGTCCTCAGATGCTCCTGTGCACGTTTTTTGCAGTTACAAACTTCGGGTAACAGTTGATGACAACACTGGATCAGCAGCTTTTGTTCTGCTGGGTAGGGCCGCTGACCTTCTTGTGGGCTTGACTGCTAACGATCTCTCTACTAGGTTTCCTTACCAACGCAATGTTCTTCCACAAGAACTTCTGGCTCTTGAAGGGCGCGACTTTACTTTTGACGTCCAGCTTCCAAAACCGGAATATGGGGCTCGTGGCCCGCCAGAATTCACGGTCCTTGCTGTCAATGAGCAAGAACAGCCAAATTCCTGCTCACCAACTCTTGGTCGCCGGGCAAGAAATGCTATGCCCCATACACCACCTCCTAACAGGTTGTTTTAATGTTCTTCAGTTTGTGGTGCAGTTTCCTTTTGTTCATTACTAATTGCTGCTTTCCGTTGCAGTCCTCACTTGATGCCTCTTACTTCTCCATATGTTGTTCCAACAATGCAGAACGCTTCGGTAGAGCATGGTTCTTCTGTTGCTTCACCAAGGTTATGCTTCAATTTTACATGTCCTCTTTTCTCTGGTTGTTGCTTGTCTTTAACTCGGGTTCCTTCTTAAATTTGCAGTGGGAGTTCTCAGCTTGCATTTTCTACTCCTCCACGTCGCCCCTATAGCAGGTTGTTTTTACAATCCACTTTGCTTTACAAAATTAACAAGCGCTCCTTTGGACACTGTCGTACTCTTTCCCTATGTGTTGACATTTCTTTTCCATGCGTTGTTTACCATCAATTTCCAGTACGCGCATCGCTGCTGTATCCTCGCCCTCATCTGCTGCATTGGGAAGGTTGTCTGTTTGTTGTCTGCTTTGCTAGCTTAGTGCTGCTTAGACACGTTCTGATGTCGTTTCCTGACATGTTTTTTTCAGCAACAGTTCTGTAGCTTCTTCTCCTGAACTTGGTCGTACTGAGCTTATTTCCTATGCGCGGTCAGTTTCTTGCCTTTTCCTGTGTTACCTCAATCGTTCGCCTTTACGCCTGCTAATATTTGTCAATGACTCTTGCACACCCGTTTTAACTGCTTCTTAGCCCTAGAAGTGAGGAAGTGCCCCCAGAAACTGCAACACAGCGACTCCCACAGTACCTTTCCTCCTGTTAACTTACTTACTAGCTTTACGTGTCTCTTTCTTTCCTTGCTGAGCATCTCTGTATCAGGGAACTTGCTTCGGACACTACAGAAGCTACTGTGCAGAACAAGAACATTAGTTCGCAGAAAGCGAAACCGAAGAAACCATCTGCTAAGAAGAAGTCTCTCTCCCCTTTATTACTTGCTATGTTTCTTGTACCAAATTTACATATCCTACATTAGGTCTTCATTTCCTGTTTAACGTGCTTCTGTTTGCATACTGGCAATTTACTGTGTTTTTGTCCACCCTTCGTTTTACATGTGTCCTGCTTCCTACCCATTCCCCATTGTCATTTCGTTTTTACCACTTATTTGGTTGTTAACTGTGCATACGCCACTATTGCCTCCTGGGATCCTTTTACTTATCATAGTATCCTGCATTGTACTTCGATTTACTGTCCTTACCTTATACAACTTTGTTGGACTTTTGCAGGAAAACTGGAGGTGCAGGTGCTGCGCGTCGTCCTGCAGTTATTCTTGAAGAAACCGATGTTCCGATATCGTCCCTTCAGATCCCTGTTGGACATCCTTTGCCAACCGAATCGGCGAATCCTGACTCTGGAAATCTTAATGCCCTCGGTGTCAATTTGCAGACAACAACAATTCAGCCTTTGTCACAGTATGTGTCGTTCTAATTCTTTGCTTGTCAGTGTTGTCTGCTCCCTAGGATTCCAGTTTGCATGCTTTGGGTGCTCTTCTAAACCTGATAAAAAAAAGTTTCCAGTCTGCACAGAATACTTATTGTTGACGCACAAAAATTGCAAACAAATGCTTTACAATTCAAGTTGGTCTTCTGCTTTTATACATGGTTTTAAGTCGTTACAATACAATACAATAGCCGATGGATGGCCTTTTGTATCCCTTTCTTCGCCCTTACCTAACTTACACGTGTTATCAATGTGCAGACATACAATGTTACCTTTCAGTGGCCATACTAATTATCTACGCATGTTCTACCTTTTTTGTTTATACAGAACAAAATAAACAAATAGTTGTGGTTTCTGCTTACTTGGTCAGCTTCAAATTAATTCTTTTCCCACAGTTGAAGTAATAATCGTCTTTACTTTAGGGAGATTCCTTGTGCAGTTTGTTCTTTGTTGTTAGTCATTATCTTATTCGTGCTTTGCAAGTTGCTCCCGCATTGCATAGGAATGTGCATGTTCTTTCATATAGATGTGTGTTTTACAGACCTACTTCCTTTGTCTCCTTTTCTAGGCAACCTGTGACTATAAATCCTGCACCTGTACGTCGCCGTCGCTTGGTTGTTTCTTCTGATGAAGACGAACCTGTTGTCCCTTTGGAACTGCAAGACTTGGACGTTGAACTTCCACTGCAAGAACAGGCTATTGAAAACTCTTCGACTTGTCCTGTTCCTACCGTTGACTCTACTTTGCCTTCTCCTCTTCTTGCTGGCCAAGAAGTTCCGCTACTTCCAGTGGGGAAAACTAATCCTGAGAGGGCAAAGCGAATTAGGACACCGTCTGCAAAGGCCATTGAAGCATCTGTGGATGCCTCCAAGAGGAAGCCAAAAACTCCCAAATCGTCTGCTAAGGAACCTGCTAAGAAACAACTGTTTGCTGATTGACCGTGATTCGCATCATGCGAGTGCTAATGTAACATGCTTGTGCAGTGCTGTCCCTCCCTTTCTTTTGTATAACTTTTAAAGGGAAACACTCTTTAGTGAGTAGTGCACTATGTACTTTTGCCTTTTGTGTCTACATTTGCAGCCCTTGCCAAACTTTGTGGTTTTCCATTACTGGCACCACTTCTACCAAACTGGTCTGCTATGCCATTTGACTTGTATTAGTTACCTCTTGGTCCAGGTTACCCCTTGCGTACCTGCTTTCTAACCAGCTCTATGTCGTTCATATAAAGCGACATTTTGGCATGCCCTTCTTTAAGTGGCATAGTATTGCGCCACTCTGCAACTGAACTTTATTTTGTGCTAAGGAACTGTTGTACTTTGTATCATCATTTGTTGGGTGAATTTTGCCGTTTAGCCCACATTCGCATCGCACCTGTATGTACTTCGTTAGTCACGTGTTTTGCTCTTCATTCGCAGGTGGCCACTGCCTGTTGTAAATTGCCACTTTTAGGACCAAATTGTGCACACCCTTTTCGATTGCAGGGTATTTAGGTGGTGTCTACCAGCCACACAGTAACTAGATATTTAGATTGTCCACTAATACTATGACTTTGTTTACTAGCTTCCATAGACCCAAATTATAAACTTATTTTTCTTCTATTAATTGCCATCATGCATTAATTGTTCTGACTACCCTGTTCACTAATGATGGCTTTATTACTTCTCACTTCTCTAGACTAGCCTGCTATGGTGCATGTTGTATTATTATACTTTTTCTTAAGAAGGATATTTCCCCCTGGAAACACCGTTTACCTGTAGACTGTCTTCTTCCATAACTGCTTTCCCATTACTGCTTCTTTTTGCTTATTCTGTCTTTGCTGTTGGTCATTGAATGCAATTCTCTGCTACATCTGCTATACTATTACCTGGTATCTGCCTTCCTCTGCAAATCTGGCAGTGTCTTTATTCCACTGTACCCGTTTAGAAGGCGTGACATGGTTAGTTTGGTCAATTTATTACTTTTATCTTACTACATTTACCATTGTGTTCCTATACCATGCTACGCTTGTGCCATAGTTCCCAGGTCCTGTTTTTTCCCTAACGTCAGTGTGTGCTCTCAGGCTACTCCCAGACAGGCTGCACTCCTGCTACCCGGTCGTTCAGCAAATAGGAAGCGTCGTCATATTGGTGTTTCCACTGAATTTGTACCTACCACGCCTCCTTCGAGAAGTTCTGTGAGGCGTCGTGTGTGCAACTTTGATAGACGGGGACGCTTGCACCCACTGCTTGACTCAGAAGGTGAACTTGACTCATCCGAACTTGACTTAAGAACTCCTGAAAACTTAACAGCCAGCTCGCAAACTCATCCTCCTGTTGCGTTGGATGGTCATTGTTCGTTGCCTAATGTGCCTCTACCACCTTCACAACAAGCAGAATTCAGTCGAGTTATCGATCATGGTTTTCCTGACTGTGAATGCCAATACTGTGGTGCACGATTCTGGTATGAAGAGCGGCTTAACAGGCATGCATCTCTTACTCCTGTTTTCACGCTTTGTTGTCAAAAGGGTCGAATACGCCTCCCATTCCTACAGGAAACCCCTCAGTACCTTGAAGACCTCTTGGGTGTTAATGGCGGTCCTATGGCAGCGCACTTCAGGGAACATATACGCTCCTATAATGCTGCGTTTTCTTTCACATCTTTTGGAGCACGCCTTGATCCGAGAGTTACACGATCACGAGGACCTTATTCGTTTGTGATATGCGGAGAAAATTATCATCGAATGGGATCTCTGCTTCCTGCTGCAGGTCAGAGACCTAAATATTCTCAGCTATACGTCTTTGACCCGCAGACCGAATTAGCAGATCGACTCTCCAATTTCTCTTCTGCTGAAAGGTCTCTGCGTCCTGATATTGTTTCTGGTTTAATGAAGCTGTTTGACGTGACAAATGAATTAGTTAAGTCTTTTAGACGAATTCGAACTGAATTGAATGATCCAGCATCAATCAATTTAAGACTGCGTATTGTTGGTGCAAGGGACACAACATCTCGACAGTATGAACTTCCAACTGGTTCAGAATTGGCTGGACTAATTCCTGGTGATTTCTTGCCTGATAAGGAAGAACGAGACATCATTATCGATCATCGGTCAGAGGGCCTGAAGAGGATCACAAGTGTACACCCGAAGTTTGATGCTTTGCATTTCCCGGTTCTTTTCCCATACGGAGAAGATGGATTCCATGTAACCATACCGTATGATCCTGTTCATACTCCCAAAACATTGAAAAGGAAACATGTGACTCAGAGAGAGTACTATGCTTACCGGCTTCAGCACAGAGACGACGAAGGTCAGACATTGATGCGAGGTGGGAAGGCACTTCAACATTACGTGGTTGATGCATATTCCACAATTGAACAAAACCGACTCTATTATTTGCGATCGCATCAAGAAAACCTCCGTTCTGAACTATACTATGGCCTTACAGATGCTTTCAACAGAGGTGATGTTACAGGAGATGCTGTTGGCCATGTTGTTCTGCCATCATCGCATACTGGAAGTCCTAGGTATATGAAGCAACTATACTTAGATGCAATGGCTGTTGTCCACCATCATGGTAGCCCCGACCTATTCATAACCTTTACGTGCAACTCACAGTGGCCAGAAATAACAGAATCTTTCCGCGCTGTCTGTGGTGCACGCAGCGAACTAAAACCAGAGATTGTTGCTAGGGTCTTTCGCATGAAACTGAATGCACTGGAAGATGAATTAACACGAGGCCATTTTTTTGGTCAAACAGTGGCAGGTTTGTTCGGTTGCCTTCTGTCTTACTTCCTTTTACAATTGCCTGTTATCAATTCTCCTTTTCCTGTTACTCTAAACTTCCTCACTTACCTCATGTTTTGTGCTCTAGCATAAATGACAGATTTCGTTGCCTTATAATTCCAGGTATCAAAACCGTCGAGTTTCAGAAACGGGGTTTGCCCCATGTTCATATACTTTTATGGTTGGATGCAAAGAATAAGCTACGACAAGTTTCTGATATTGATGCAACTGTTAGTGCTGAACTGCCAGATCCATTACTAGATCCAATTGGGTATGATGCTGTGACAAAGTTTATGCTGCATGGTCCGTGTGGTCAAGATAATCCGACCAATGTTTGCATGAAAGAAGGATCGTGTTCAAAGTATTTTCCAAAACCGTTTAATTCAGAAACTACAACGGACCAGTTTGGCTATACAGTCTATCGCCGTCGCGATACAGGTATAACAGCAGTGAAAGGTACAGCTATACTAGACAACCGGTTTATCGTTCCATATAATCGGAATTTACTTGTGCTGTTTCAAGCTCATATCAATGTCGAGGTCTGTCATCAAGGCCGCTTGATTAAATATTTGTTTAAGTACATTACAAAAGGGCCTGATAGATCCATGGTTCTTGCTGAAACTGCTGGCTTGTCTGTGTCTGATTCTGCTACCCCAAACCATATCCCTCCATTGGACGAAATTAAACAGTTTCTTGATTGTAGAAGTCTGTCTTCATATGAGGCAGCGTGGCGGATCTTTGAATTCCCTGTTCATGAACGAACACCGCCGGTTCAGCGGTTGTGCGTTCATCTTGAAGGGAGACATTATGTTCCTTATAGGAAGAAACAACGGCTGTCTCGAATACTTGCCCGCGATTCTGTCTCAGAGACAACATTGACACAATGGTTTTACCTTAACCAACGAGATCCAACTGCAAGGGATCTACTTTATGCCGAGACTCCGAATCGTTATATATGGAATGTGAAAACAAAAAAATGGGCTCCGCGGAAAAGAGGGTTCTCAATTGGAAGAATTGTCTATATCCATCCAGGTTGTGGTGATACATTTTATCTCAGACAACTTCTTACCAAAGTTCGTGGGTCAGTTAGTTATGCAGATCTTCGGACAGTCCATGGATTCCCATGTAGAACATATCAAGATGCGTGCCAGCGCCTTGGTCTTTTGTCTAACGATGATGAATGGTTACTTGTGATTAAAGAAGTCAGCCAATGGGGCATGTGCCGCTTGTTACGATACCTCTTTGTGTCCATGCTGATGTTCTGTGAACTATCAAACCCACTGCAGCTTTTCAATCAGACATGGGAATTGCTTTGCGAAGACATCACATATAGGTGCCAACGAGACGTTTGCTTCAACAACAACCTCATACCAACTGAATTGCCCAAAAATAAATTGTTGTGGGAATTGCAGCACATGTTACATGCTTATTCAGCCACGTTATCTCATTTTAACCTTCCCTTGCCAACAGATGATCACCCACAAACTGATCCCTTGCTTCAGTTTGGAACTGATTCACATCCTGGTACTTTAGCTGCTGTGGATTCCCACCTCCTGTAGTTGGTGATCTTAACAGAAAGCAACTTGAAGCTTTTCATTGTGTAATGGAATCTGTTATGTCTCCAACAGAAGACTCGCCTACATTCTACTTTCTGTATGGTCATGGAGGAACAGGCAAGACTTTTCTCTACAAAACTATTCTTGCGCAACTTAAAGAAGCTGGAAAAATAGTTTTGGTTGTTGCTTCTTCAGGAATTGCAGCAACATTACTTCCTGATGCAAGTACAGCTCACTCTCGGTTTAAAATACCACTGGAAATCGATCATGGTTCTTCATGTAATATCAAGAAAGGTACGCCATTGGCTCAATTGATCATTAATGCATCGCTTATAATATGGGATGAAGCCCCAATGGTTCACAGATTGTCTTTTGAGGCAGTAAACAGAGCTTTTGTGATATTATGGATGTTCCGTTTGGTGGTGCACACTATAAACCGTTTGGTGGCAAAGTTGTTCTTCTTGGAGGCGATTTTCGTCAAACGCTTCCAATAGTAGCTGATGCTGGCAGAGAAGAGAGTATTGATTCATCTCTGACCTGTTCCTTTTTGTGGCAACATTGCACTGTGTTGCACTTAACTGAAAATATGCGGGTGGTTGCTTCCCGGGAGAGTCAAAGGTCAACTTTTGGTGGCATGCCCTTTACCGAATGGACTCTTGCTGTGGGAAATGGGAATGTGCCAGGAAAATCATTTCCTTCTAACCAATCTACTGATTGGATAGAGATTCCGGAATCATTACTGCTTCCTTCTTCAGGAAATCCCATCCATACGATTACGTCTACAGTCTATCCTGACTTTGCTCAACGGTTCCATAATGTATCGTACCTCA